CTTTCCTCTCTGTAAAAAATCAATAAAATATATATATTTTTAAATAGTATTGTTCTGTGCATACTGGTTTCAAACTTCATTTTAAAATTAATATGACGTGGAAATATCTCTATATTAAATAGAGAGCTACAAAATTTTTTCTCGATTGTATGGTTATACCATAATTCTTTTATGTAATCTGTTGATGTTTCTAATTTGTATTAGAACTTTCTTAACTATATTTCTTTGTGTACTTGCCCTGTTGTTTCCTTGATGAATCCTTATAAGTGGTGGGAGGGAAGAGTCAAAGGATTTACATATTTTTTATTAATTTTTATTTTCTTAATATATGTATTTAATATATTTTATTGATTTTTCACAGAGATGAAGGGAGAAGGATAAAGAGTTAGAAACATCAATGAGAGAGAAACATTGATCAGCTGCCTCCTGCACACCTCCCACTGGGGATGTGCCCGCAATCAAGGTAAATGCCCATGACTGGAATCGAACCCGGGACCTTCAAGTCCGCAGGCTGACGCTCTATCCACCAAGCCAAACCGGTTTTGGCTTAATATATTTTTTTTTTATTTCAGAGATGAAGGAAGAGAGAGAGAGAGATAGAAACATTGATGAGAATCATTGATCGTCTGCCTCCTGCATGTCCCTACTGGGGATCGAGCCTGCAACCTGGGCATGTGCTCTGGACCGGATCGAACCCAAGACCCTTCAGTTCACAGACTGATGCTCTATCCACTGAGCCAAACCAGCTAGGGCTTTAATTAATTATTGTAAAAATTTTGCCTTAATGCTTTATGCAAGGAACTATGCTACGCCCTGAAAATATGACAGTGAATGTCACAAATCTGCTGTCTGCTCTGTGGTCCTTACATTTTAGTGGGAAAAAGATGTTATAGAGTCAAATAAATATATGCTAAAATGTGGTATCACTTGGAAAAAGTGAATGGTAAGTAGAAGTTTATTTTATTTTAATTTCTTTTTTTTTAATATATATTTTATTGATTTTTCACAGAGAGGAAGAGAGAGGGATAGAGAGTTAGAAACATTGATGAGAGAGAATCATCGATCAGCTGCCTCTTGCACACCCCCTACTGGGAATGTGCCCACAACCAAGGTACATGCCCTTGACCGGAATTGAACCTGGGACTTTTCAGTCAGCAGTCCGACGCTCTATCCACTGAGCCAAACCAGTTCCGGCTATTTTAATTTCTTTATTGATTATGGTATCACATAATTGTCCTCCTCGCCCCATTCCCATCCCTAACCCCTCCCCACGTATGCCCACCCCCTGTTGTCCATGACCACTGATTAGGCTTATATGCATGCACACAAGTCCTTTGGTTGATCTCTCCTCTTTGCCCCCACCCTCCCCTACCTTCCCTCTGAGGTTTGACAGTCTGATCGCTGCTTCTGTTTCCAGGTCTGTTTCTGTAGAAGTTTATTTTTAAAAAGTCCTTACCTTTTAGTGATATATACCAAAGTATATACAAATGAAATGATATTTGGGAATTGCCTCAAAATATTACAAGGTGTTGGGAGTGAGGGAAAGTAGGTAGAAGTATAGCTGAAATAAGATTGGCCAGAGATTGATCATTGTTGAAGCTGATGGTTAATTATACTCTGTTTTTATGCATTTGAAATTGTCCATAATGGAATGTAAAAATCAGAAGAAAAGATGGAGGTGAAGTTATAACCGATCTACATTCAGGGACCAAGGAAAGAAACTTTTCAGCTGAGACCTTTGTGGTAATGTAGGAGTTGACCAGGCAACAAGTGGTGGGTGGTGGGTGGGGAAAGAGCTTGTGGGAACAGCATGTAAAGAGGCCAGAAGCCCTGAGTAAAGAACAGGGTGGTGCTTTGAGGAAATGAAAGAAAGCTGGTGTGTCCGAGGGAAGAGGCTGGGGAAGTAGGCATGAGCCAGATCTTATAAGACCTTGGAGACCATGTTAAATATTTTATTCTTTAGTCCAACCGTGTAGAAGGAAGCTTCTATAGAAGGGTTTTAAGTAACAGAGTGGCAAGGTTACTAGTACATTTGCTTCCTTAAGGGCTCAAGCTGCTTCATGGAGAATGGTTTTGGTTCAGGGTTAGAGGAGAAGGAAATATAAAGGTAAAAGTAGAGAGACATTAGGAGGTCGTTGCACTAGGCCAAGAGATCTGGTGACCTTGGATTAATGACAGTGTTGTACAAAGAGAAAAGAGACTGATTTGAGAGATATTTTGGCCTTGGTGATGGTATAGATATGAGGGGTGAAGGAGAGAGGTATCAAAGGTGATGTGTATATTTCTGACTGATGCATTTGAGTGGTTGGAGGTATAACTGACTAAAATGGGGGGAAATGAAGTAAGAGCAGGTTTTGTAGCAAGAGATAGCTCAGTTTGTTAAAAGCATAGAAAATTTGCACCCATTTGCATTTTCACCTTTACATGAGACTACACAAAATGTTTATAATTGGAGGCCTGATCTGTACAGATTTGTGTGTTAGAAAGATTCTGGTGGGAGTCTGGAGACCAATTAATTGTTAGTCCATGAATTCTTTGAATCAGGAATCTCATCTGTATTATCTCTGCCTTTGTATCCATAATAACTATAGTGAGTGGTTGGGGGCCTTAGCATATCATTAGCATGTTGAATGGACGACTGGGCACTTAGCATATTAAGCTTTTATTACATAGGACTAGAGGCCCAGTGCACAAAATTCATGCAGGTGTGGGAGTCCCTCAGCCCAGCCTGCAACCTCTCCAATCCAGGACCCCTTGGGGGATGTCCAACTGCTGGCAGGATCAGGCCTATACCAGCAGTCAGACATCCCTCTCGCAATCCAGGACTGCTGACTCCCAACCGCTCACCTGCCTCCCTAATCATCCCTAACTGCTCTCCCTTTCCAGCCTGATTGTTCCTAATTGCCTCTGGCCACCATGGCTTTGTCCAGAAGATGTCTGGTCTATCTGGTCTAATTAGCATATTACCCTTTTACTAGTATAAATTATTGACTATATTCCTTATGCTCCATAGCAACTTGTAATTACTGGTTTTGGCTTCTAATTTTGTTCATAAACAAATATACTTTAACTATTTTATCATGAATTCTAGAATCTAGAGCAAAGGGAAAAATGTAAAGAAACATGAGATATTAACTTTTGGTCTCATTTTAAACTCTATATGACTTAGACCATATCTGAGTTCTTTTATGAAAACTATAATTAAAATAGATACACAGCCCCCTATGAAACCTCATATCTGCTTAGGTTTTTTGTTTGTGTTTATGTAACTCCCTATCATCGAAAGAAATACGTGAATCTTCTATGTGTTTATTAGCTTTAAGGCAGATCTACTGTGCAAATCTGTCCAGAAATTTGAGGGACCAAAGGTCTTTTTAAAAGATAAATCTGAGCCTATCGAATAATAGCAGTAAGATATTGGGATAAAATTTCAGACAGAGAACTCCACCTGGTGGTTATAAGGAGAATTTGAGCCTTCTGTATTTGTAGTATTTGCCATAGTATCTGAATGATATCTTTGTTTGAAAATTGCATTCTTATTTATGATAGTTGTGGATTCAAATTTCTGAGAATATCTGGCATACGATTCTAGCCTTCCTTTATTGAGACTGCTATCAAAAACTGCAGAGCAACCAAATAATTGTGTCCGACAGGACTGAAGTCTTGTGCCCTTGAGTTGTTCAAAACCCAGGGTCCTATTTGTCTCTGGAGGGAAATCATTTTGTGTCTTTTCATCTCTATTGCAACTGCTAACTTTGATATCATGCTTATTTTATGTGGTAAGTTTCTGCCTACTAGAAGGATGGAGAAGGAAATATTAGTGATTTTTCAGTAAGTATTTGTCAGGTGTTATATAAAAGTAAGTTGCTTTTCCTGTACAAAGATTATGAATAGGGGGAGAAAAAAAAGATTATGAAGAGGAGTTTGATAATTTTCCAGAGGGGTTATTAGGGTGAGCAAAGTCGGCAAGGGATGAGAGATTATGTAACCATTTTTAATTAAAATACGTAGCTGAGATTTCTTTTTTATTTCAATAAGCATCTTTACTTCATATTTTTGAATGTAGGTAATTCTATAGGGTAATGTAGGGACATCAGCTCAAGGAGAAAGGATCCTATTAACCTAATCTGGATGCATATTTTATAGGCCTGCTCGGGAGGGGAGGATAAACAAAGTTTTAAATTTCAGGTTGAACCTTAGGTTGGTATGGCATGTCTGTATCTTTTTTCCTAGTAGGAAAAGTGAATCCAGGCCCCAGCACCATTGAAATGTTGCTTAAGGGAGGGCTGTTCATGTAAGATACTAAATAGAATGCGATATAACTTTTCACTGTTCTCCTAGGACTTTTCTTTATTTAACTAACGGTATTACAACATCTACATTTCAATACTCATATCATCAGGCATGGTAAAAGGTTGCTCCATACACAAATGTCCACATATTGTATAATCCCATTTATATGAAATGTCCAGAATTGGCAAGTCTATAGAGACAGGTTAGATTTATGGTTGGCAGGGCCTGGGGGCTGGAGCAGAATTGGGAGGAAATGAGGAATGCCTGCTTATGGGTTTGAGGTTTCTTTTGGGAGTGGTGAAAATGCTCTGGAATTAGATAGTGATGATGGTTGAACATCTGTGTGAATATAGGGTGGCGCAAAAGTCGGTTTACAGCTGTGACTATGCAAAGCAGAGGGTTTATTCTTACATTATTATTTATTAATTATTGTGTTATTTTCCATATGAACTACCAGAACAAACCTACTTTTGCCTCGCCTGTATACTAAAAACCACTGTATTGTACCTTAAAAAAAATTAAAGCTAAATGAAAAAAAAGGAAAGCCTATTCATGGAGGAATGAACTAAACCAAAAAAAAAGGTGATTGAGATAACAATCCTCTCACTTACGTTCTAGCTGAAATGTTTGATAATCTAAACATTACAGTTTGAGCCTTGAATGTTGTTTTAATTTGTTCTTTATTGACTTGTTCCTGACCTTCACAGGGCCACGATGGGCCTCCTGGAACATTGGTGTGTTCATCTGCATTCGGTGTGCTGGAATCCACAGGAATTTGGGGGTGCACATATCCAGGGTAAAATCAGTTAACCTTGACCAGTGGACTCAAGAACAGATTCAGGTACTTTATACAACCCAAGAGTGTGTTACAGTAGTTCTGGGTGAATTTCAAACTGGGCACAAAGGTAAAGATAAAGGGAAGTTTAGTTGTCGAACACCTATATCCAATTCTCATACCTTAATAGTGAAAATTTTAATCTTTCTATTTAAAGTACAGATTATTCCACCTATATTTTACCTACTTCAAATCACAAATGGTTTATGGTCTAGCACCCCGTGGATTGAGAAAGATGTAAAGGAGGATCTTTGGATTATTTTCTAAGACACTGACATCTGCAGATCTAACATTTGTAGTTTTAGATATTCTCTAAAAATAAATTTAAAAAGCCCTCTCATAGACTTATAACATTTTATTGCTAAAATGCTTGCTGTTAGGTTGGTGGGTTGGGATGAGACACTAGAGTTAGGGAGTCCAGCTGGCCCAAGATCTGCACCTCATTGTGGCTTTATTGTTCTCTTCCTACATTGAAACTTTTTATAGTAATTAAGGGGGAAAATTCTTGGGGAGAGTGGATCCAAAGAAAACCAGTTGCCAAAGAGGATGATAGAAATAAGAGATTATTCTTAACCAGAACATGGCCTTAGAAATATTTTAGACTGGTGTGTGTGTGTGTGTTTTGTTTTTTGTTAATCCTCACCCGAGTATATTTTTCCCATTGATTTTTAGAAAGAGTGGAAGGGAGAAAGGGAGGGGGGAGAGAGAGAGAAACATGGATGTGGAAGAGACACATTGATTGGTTGCCTCCCAACTAGGGTCAGGGATTGAACCTGTAACCTCAGTACTTGCCTTTGCCTGGGAATTTGATGCTCAGGCCAACACTATACCCACTGAGCACACCGGCCAGGGCTTATGGATTCATTAAAAGTCTAAAGTTTAGTGTACTTTTCAGTTGCACTTTACTGTATCTTCTGAAGGAAACTACATGCCATAGAGGTATTTGGGAATTTGAAGATTTTAAAAGATCTTGGGATTTATCCCTCCCAAGTGCTAAAAATCTATTTCAAAAACACACTTATTGGTAATAAAGCTGAATGGGTTAACTAATAATATCAATTCCGAGTGTAGTTACTGGCTGCATGTTGCCTGTCAGATTAGGCACTGATTATTGCCTGCCAAGTAGACATTTGGTAGCTATGTGTCTTGGACTTTCAAATGGAATTTTGAATTATTACTGAATTAAATGTATCTTGTCAGACAGACTTTTCAACAAACGGAACTCAGGTGAGGTAGGAAAGACAGCTGTAGGGGCAAATGGTTGTGAGCAAAGTAGAGAATCATGGATTGGAAATCAAAATACACAGGTTTTAAACTATCATCCTCTTTAGCAACTGGTTTTCTTTGTTTTTTTGTTTTTGTTTTGTTTTGTTTTTAAATATATTTTATTGATTTTGTACAGAGAGGAAGGGAGAGAGAGAGAGTTAGAAACATCGATGAGAGAGAGTCATCGATCAGCTGCCTCTTGCACACCCCCTACTGGGGATATGCCCGCAACCAAGTACATGCCCTTGACCGGAATCGAACCCGGGACCTTTCAGTCCCTAACCCGACGCTCTATCCATTGAGCCAAACCGGTTTCGGCCAACTGGTTTTCTTTGGATCCACTCTCTAGAGTGGATTACTTCTTCAATGTAAAATGCTGCTGCCAAAGCCGGTTTGGCTCAGTGATAGAGTGTTGGTCTGCGGACTGAAGGGTCCCAGGTTCGATTCCGGTCAAGGGCATGTACATTGGTTGCGGGCACATCCCCAGTAGGGGGTATGCAAGAGGCAGCTGGTCGATGTTTCTCTCTCATCGACGTTTCTAGCTCTCTATCTCTCTCCCTTCCTCTCTGTGAAAAATCAATAAAGTATATTAAAAAATATATATATGTATATTAAAATATATTAATATATATATATAAATAAAAACATTCATGAATGAATGTTCTAAATAAATAAATAATTAATTAATTAAATAATTAAATAATTAAAAACAAAATGCTGCCATTGGATGAGAAGTTTTAAAATTCTTTTCTAATCTGACATTCCATGTTTCCACATCTCTTTGGTTGCAGTGTATGCAAGAGATGGGGAATGGAAAGGCAAACCGACTTTATGAAGCCTTCCTTCCTGAGACCTTTCGGCGACCTCAAATAGACCCGTATCTTTTCTGGAGCAACTTAGAAGACTGAGTGGTATTTTGGTGTTTTGGGAGAGTCACAGAATATTCACAACTCATGACCTGTCTGTGTAGTCAGATCTAATCTATGTGGATTAGTTCTATCTTGTTTTCTTCTCTCTCCTGCACCCAAGGCCTACAAAAAAGCATATGTATACATTCTGTATCAGAATGGTGGTGTCACAGGGCGAAAACTCATTCAGGAATTAAGATTGGAGTGGTTCAGTTTCACTGTGAATTCTTCTGTAAAGTGACATCTCCAATAGTTTTTTGGATCTCTGAAGCTACTGTTTGATAAAAATCATTTACTGTGTCATGTTGAATCACAAAAACTACTCTTCACTTTTTAAGGCCTTTTTATGTGCTGTGTGAAAGAATGAACTGTTGTTGACCAATTAGTAACTTTTTTCTCCCATCCCCTCTGCATGGGAGAGCACCCAGCTCACAAAGCCAGTGGTTTGTTGACCATTTTGTTACAGTTGGCTTTTTGGTTGGTACAGGCAGACTTAAAGCAGATTTGGAGCCAGGGAATCTGGCCACGGGGTACAAGAGTTTATAGTTTTGTGGGTTTTTAAAAATATAATTTATTGATTTTTAAAAAATATCTTTCTTTCTTTCTTTATTTAATATATTTTATTGAGTTTTTACAGAGAGGAAGAGAGAGGGATAGAAAGCTAGAAACATCGATTAGCTGCCTCTTGCACACCCACTACTGGGGATGTGCCCACAACCAAGGCACATGCCTCTGACCAGAATTGAACCTGCGACCCTTGAGTCTGCAGCCGATAATCTATCCTAGGAGTGTCGAACTCAATCATAGAAGGGGCCAAAATCTAAAATCCAGCCTAAATCGCGGGCCGAATGGTTTACTGAACAGTCATAAACTATCATTGTGATGGAAACGCAGCGGAGTGCAGTGATGACAGCGCGGTGCGGGCCACATTGCAAGGCCTGGCGGGACGGATTTGGCCCGCGGGCCTTGTGTTTGACACATGTGCTCTATCCACTGAGCCAAACCGGTTTCGGCAAGAGTTTATAGTTTTTAGGGTCATTAGTTGACTTTGTTTAAGGCCTATTGACCTAATGCCTTTAAAATAGGTAATTGTCTGCTGCTTGATCTGTGTTCTAGAGCAGCGAGCGGCTCCTCTGCTGGCAGTATGAAGATTAATCCCATTTGTTGCTCTCAGTGCTCAGAAGGGAAATCAGAGGAAATAGGATTCCCTGCAATAACTGGGAAGGAGGCATTTCAAGGTTTTGGTCAGAGAAACTACATGCGAAAAGACAGGAGCCGAATGGGGAAGCCAGACAGGAGGGAGAGAGAACATTCTGTGGATACAGGTTGATCTTTTATAGTCATCCTGGGAAAGACTTGCTTGATTTACCCTTAATAAGCTTTTTGCAGAGCTGTCGAGGGATTCATTCGAGATAAATATGAGAAGAAGAAATACATGGACCGAAGTCTAGACATCAGTGCCCTTAAGGTTGGTTGTAACTCTTTCAAGTTTTGTCCATAATAAGTAATTTGTTTATTAATCGGGCCAGGGGAGAATTTGAAGATCAGTTGCTAACATGCTCAAAAACTATTATTATTTAAAAAATAACTCAGTTGGTTAAAGCATCGATCCAGTACAGCAAGGTTTTGGATTTGATTCCAGGTCAGCATATTCAAGAATCAACCAATCAATGAATAAATTAGTAGAACAACAAAAATCTATTTATCTATGACTCTCTCTCTCTTTTTCTCTCTCTCTTTCTCTTTCTCTCTCCCCCCATTTTGCTTCTCCCCCCTTCCTCTCGCTTTCTCTCAAATCGATAAAATAATAAAGATACAGAAGTAGAAAAAAGCCAGCTATTGAATCAAGATCATAAAATATCATGAAGTGAAGTTTGGCCTCAAGGGCAGACAGGACAAACCATCAGTGAGTTATTTGTCTTGATCTGCATTTGGATGCTAGTGACTCCCAATTCCAAATTATTTCTTCAGCTGGACATGTTGGGCATATGAGATCAAATAGAAAGTGTGTGTGCGTGCGTGTATAAATTTATATCATTTATATATACACACATACAAACCCTTTGTGCATACTTAAGTTTTGTTTTCATAAGTGAAGTCAACAAAATTAAGTGTAATTAAGTCACCAGTTTCCTTCAGTTAGACCAGCATGTATTTCCTGTGCATTAGTGGACTGATTGCTAATGGGATGACCTTTGTTCCAGAAAAGGGTTTTAGGTGGGGGCTACCAGTTGCCAAGTATGTTTTTCATCCTAGGCATGTGGTTAGAATCTGAAAAAACGATGTATGATAACTAGGACAAGTATAATATACAGGAGGAAATATGACATGGTTTCTGGAAGAAGACTATAAGCCTGATTACTGACAACTAAAGAACCAATAAATATGACTCTTTAGACCTTTAAAAAGCCTTTGACAAGGTTCTACAGTAAATTTGTTTAGATATAATTGACTATTTCTTGAGCCACGGAAAGATAGAAAGTATGATATTCTCAAATTCTATAATAGCACAGGTCTCATCTGTCATCCATCTGATTAGTTATTCTAATGGAGAATGCACTAGTTAGTGAAATCACTAAGTTTACACAGGGCTCTAAGCCCTTCCAGGCTATTTAAAGTTCCAAATTGATCTTTTGAGATTATGTGAAAAGGCATTAATTGGGAGGTGAATTTCAATGCAGACCGATAAGTGCAAAATAATAATACTCTTACCTCACAGTCATCCAGAAAAGGGACGGGGAAGTTATCTTAACTGTTCCAAGGGAGATTAACCCAGTATATAAGCTATGGCTTGGATGGCATTAGAAAGAAACCAAAGCACATACATTGCCTTTTATTTGTAGAAAACTATGGTCTGTCTGCCTGCCTTTGTTCGTTGTACCTGAAGATGTGAAATTGGATGAGCTCAGGAAAGGGCAGAGGGAAGAGGTTCTGTAGGAAGATAGTGTGCTCAGGAAAACAGCCTGTTTTACTCGCTGGATATTTCCATTTCGGAAGGAAAAAACTTTACCTAAAGGCCATTTCAATTGTTTTTATTTGATGTGCTTAGATTACAGTTTATCTTACCTTTTTCCTTTTGTGGCATAAGCGTTGTGATTTACATTTTTCTTTAGAATAAATGTGAGGTGAATTACTTTGTGCATGTGAGCTTTTCCATATTTTGGATTATTTTCTTAAAATATATTACAAAATATGGTATTATATAGGTCAAAGCATTTCAGTATTTGTCTTTCATACTTTTGCCAATATACTTTGCAGATGTTGTACTATTTTATACTGTCTTCTTAGCACTATATTACAGTACTAGTTTTACTTCATCTCTATTAACATTAGGTATTATTAAGACCTTTCTCCCCCCAACCCTCCAAAAGAGGCATTTTAAATTGCACTTTTTAATCAATAGCAAAGCCTTAAATTTTCACATGTCTGGTATACCTCTTTTCAAATGCCTGTGTTCTTTTTTTTTTCTTTTTTTTTCAAATATATTTTATTGATTTTTTTACAGAGAGGAAGAGAGAGGGATAGAGAGTTAGAAACATCGATGAGAGAGAATCATAGATCAGTTGCCTCTTGCACACCCACTGGGGATGTGCCTGCAACCAAGGCACATGCCCCGGACCGGAATCGAACCCGGGACCCTTCAGTCCGCAGGCGGACGCTATCCACTGAGCCAAACCGGTCTTGGCCAAATGCCTGTGTTCTTGAATTTACTTTGTGGTTCTGTTTGACATTTAAATGTTTATATGATTTTTAAAATATGACCAAAACATGGGTGAAAATATTATGAAACAGCCTCTGACAGTAACAAAAACTGAGAGAGACTTTCTAATATTTTATTTTTTATGTACTTTTTGGTTTTATACAAGTGGCTCATTTGGGATACTTTATAATCCTTTTACTCTTTTTTGGCCTTATTTCCTTGATTAATGTTTTTCTAACCATTAAGCTTGGCATTTTTTTTTTTCTGGTTTAAAAATAAAAGATAAAGCCCTAGCCGGTTTGGCTCAATGGATAGAGCATCAGCCTGGGTCCCAGGTTCAATTCCGGTCAAGGGCATGTTGGTTACGGGCACATCCCAAATAGGGGGTATGCAAGAGGCAGCTGATCAATGTTTTTCTATCATCAATGTTTCTAACTCTCTATCCCTCTCCCTTCCTCTCTGTAAAAAATCAATAAAATATTTTTTAATTTAAAAAAAAGAGTAGTCAAAAATAAATAAATAAACAAAAATAAAATCAACAAAGAATATGTATTAGTTAGATGAACATGAACTTATTTCACCAAGATGAGGAGGGACCCCCTCAAAGCATGAGCAAATTAAACTTGAGTCAGAAAGGGGCAGCAGATGGGCAAAATGTTTTATCCTCTGTAGACAGCCTATACTGCACATTTCAAGAGTCAAAAGACAGATCAGGGAGGCTGGGTGCTTAAGATAGTGGTCAGCAAACTCATTAATCAACAGAGCCAAGTATCAACAGTACAACGATTGAAATTTCTTTTGAGAGCCAAATTTTTTAAACTTAAACTTCTTCGAACGCCACTTCTTCAAAATAAACTTGCCCAGGCCATGGTATTTTATGGAAGAGCCACACTCAAGGGGTCAAAGAGCCGCATGTGGCTCTCGAGTCGTGATTTGCAACCACTGGCTTAACATATTTGAAGGATGCCTCTTAGAGCTTTGAGGCTGATGTTGACCAGGCTGACTCTCATACCCCACACCAACAACTCCAAAGCTTGTCAGACTCCTGTATCAGAGTCAACAGGGACTTTTTGTTTCCATTTTGGACTTTTGGAAAGGCAATTTATCAAAACTGGCTAGTCACTATTGAGCCTGTGTTCTTTGTCTTTTTTTAAAATCATTATAGAAAGAAAAAGATGACAAGTGGAAAAGAGGGAATGAGCCAGCTTCAGAGAAAAAAATGGAACCTATTGTTTTTGAGAAAGTGAAAATGGTAAGTGGGAAAGTATTGCACCCTGTGGATGGCCTCAGGTGTGTTTATAAGTGGAGGGGTGGCCTGCAGTTGATAGCATATTGTACCTGGGCCTAAAGGGTTCCGCATTTAGATGAGCTCACCTGCTGCCACTTCTGCTTCTTCCCCACTGCTAGTTGTTGCCTAATCTGCTCTGTCAGTTTCTTTGGAGCTAGGTGGCAGCTTAGGAACCTCATCTGTCCCATTTAAGCAAGAGGCATGTTCCATGCCAGAATGTCAAGGCTGTGTGATGCTTTCTGAGTAGATGTACCTCTTGTTAGACCTTCTATATCTCATTTCCTGTTGCATTAAGAACAGTCCAGCCCTAACTGGCTTGGCTCAATGGATAGAGCATCGGCCTGTGGACTGAAGGGTCCCAGGTTCGATTCCAGTCAAGGGCATGTACCTTGGTTTGCAAGCACATCCCCGGTGGGGGGGGTGCAGGAGGCAGCTGATAGATGTTTCTCTCTCATTGATGTTTCTGACTTTCTATCCCTCTCCCTTCCTCTCTGTAAAAAAAAAAATCAATAAAATATGGGGTTTTTTTAAGTAAAAAAATAAAAATAAAAATAAAAACAGACCAGAAGCCAGGCTAGACTGACCCATTTTAAGCAATCACTTCTTGTATTCTTGCTCTGTCATATTGAAGTAGACACCTTTCTCTTTGCACAGGGCATATTATGGCTGTAGTAGTGGATATCTAATGTCAGATCTTGGAATCTTAGGAGAGAGGACTTTTTACTGTTTGCTTAAGGAAGAGTGTTTTATCATCATTCTGAATCGCACTGTCAAAGAACACAGTCATTAGTGATATTGGCAGAGTGAGTTAGGTAATCTTTAGACTGATCTCCCTTTTGGTATTAAAGGTTTTCTAATCATTGGGGGATTTGCTGGCTCTTGGCTCCTATACCATCAGACACCTACCTTTTTTCTTGTGTGTTTTTTTGTTGTTGTTTTGTTTTCCCCCTGGGACCAAAACTTGCTACTTCTCTTGGACCCCGATCTGTGGTTGTCTTGGTTTCAGACAGATCTGTCTCTTCAGAAAGCCAAACGAGCACAGATGATACCTTTGCGTTTCCCTCTAGGTCTGATTTATGCACTTGTACCTCTGACTTGATTCTTTCGCCTGACACTTCCTGAGTTCTGTTTCTTTGGTTACTCTCTTTGAATAACATCAGCCATACCACAATAAAATCTGTGGCTTTACAGTGGGGAGGGGAAAAGTGTTCAAAACACCTGCTTGCTTCTTTCAATAACATGTTTTCGCCGTAGCCACAGAAAAAAGAAGACCCACAGCTACCTCGGAAAAGCTCCCCGAAGTCCACAGCACCTGTCATGGATTTGTTAGGCCTTGGTAAGAGTCAGACATGCCCACTCCCAGAATCTTACAGATTCTCTCTGACCCTGGGAGGCTGGGCAGAGATGGGAGTCTTTCAGTTTGTATCCCTCTCGCTAAGAGTGTTCTCTCATGTTCTTCCTATAGTTTTGGATCTGAGCAGCTGTGCTAAGAAAGTTTAATGTGACATTTTTCAGAGCGACAGTACAGTGGTTAAGCATACAGCCTTGAGAGCCAGAGTCCCGGCTCGGCCACTTACTGTTATGTGACATTAGGTAGCTCACGTAACGTCTGAACATTCCTTTCCTGTCTATGCAGTGAGGATGATATAAGTGTCCATGTCAGAGGTGTTGCTGGACGATTGAAGTGAGATGATGCCTCCAAAGCTCTTAGTCCCTTGCCTGGCACATTCTAAGCACTCAGTACATGGCTGCAGTTTTCCTTAAACCAGCACCTGGGAGCCTTGCCCCTCCCTCTCATTTTTCAGGTGCAGCCTGTTTCTGAGATGGCCCCTTATCTTGTGCTCATTTTTCTCCAAACCTTAAAACCCTGCCCCATTCAGAAGTAAACCTGCTCTTTATCTTTCACAGAACTGATGGCTGTACTTTATTTCAATCCATTTCTGCTGATTTGGGTTATTGGCTACGTAGGCTTCTAATTTTAATGTATCTTTAATTTATCTCTGAAAATGAATCCTACACAGTGTTATCCCTCAAATAGCCAGAAAGGAGCCAGCGCCCTGTGCCTGATAGCCGGGCTGCAGGCTTCTCCAGAGTGCTCCTGGGAATGTGGGGCGAGGCCTCTCGTGAGATGCCCCATCCAAGCTAGATGGTCCCAGAAGCCTAGATTTCCAGACCCAGGATGGAGTGTATGGGCTTTCCCGGTCTTCGTTGTGTCTACGATAGAAGGCAGGCCTGGGCTTAATGAGCAGTGCTACACTTTTTTTTTAACTTTAACCTTTCTTTCCAGATGCTCCTGTGGCCTGCTCCATGACAAGCAGTAAGACCAGCAATGCCCTAGAGAAGGACTTAGATCTTTTGGCCTCTGTTACATCCCCCTCTTCTTCAGCTTCCAGAAAGGTGAGTCTTGCGGGCTCCCCCGGAGTTAAAGAGTAGTATTCTGAAAAGAGTGATTTTGATAACTTAATCATGGAGCTGAGTGATGCTTCCTTGGTGGAAGTAGGCTTTGGCTTTCTTGGATCTTGATTCTTACCTTAATCCTGTGTTGTCTCTGTTACACCCTAAGATCAATATTCAGTCCATTCCCTCCTGCCCAAAAAGGGGCTTTAAGTGGGCTTCTGCCTAAGGTGTGTCAGATTGTACGGCTGATACTTTAGGTCAACTCCTCGGCCTGAGTTATTGCCAGAGGATTTGTACGTGTGAAAGACTTGAAACATTTGATGGCTGCTATTTGTGGAATATCTGCTATGTACCAGGCACAGTGCTAGGTGTTTTTATATATTTCACTTATAATTTAAAATCTTAGTTACAACCCTGCAAAATGGTATTTTATAGAAGAGGAAACATTAGTTCAGAAAATTTATGTGTCCAGCCTCTTGATACACAACTAGTAAGTGGCTACTCTAGCATCTAAACTCAGTTCTTTCTGGCTGTATCATTTGTAGGTTGCTTTTATTTTTTAATTTTATTTTCTGTTTTTAGCAAATTACATTGTTTTGCTAAAGAACAAAGCATTGTTCCAGAGCTTACCTATTAGGTGTTTTCTGATATTTGTATGGTAAAATGTTAGGAGGTAGGTTCCATGCCAACTACTAATTTCAGCCATCAATTCTTTTTTGTTTGTTTATTTTAAAAAATATGTTTTTATCTATTTCAGGAAGGAAGGAAAAGAGAGAGAGCAATAGAAACATAAATGATGAGAGAGAATCATTGATTGGCTGCCTCTTGCACACCCCCACTGGGGATTGAGCCCGCAACCCAGGCATGTGCCCTTGACCAGAATCAAACCCAGGACCCTTCAGTCCACTGGCTGATGCTCTTTCCACTGAGCTGAACCGGCTAGCCTTTTTTGTTAATCCTCACCTGATGATAATTTTCCCATTAATTTTTTTTTTTTTTTTTTTTTTTTTTTTTTTAGAGTGAAAGGGAGGGAAGGGGTGGAGGAGAGAGAAACATTGATGTGAAGAGAGACACATAGATTGGTTTCTTCCCACGTGTACTCTGACCCGGCCCTGGATCAAACTTGCAACCCAGGTACATGCCCTTAACTGGGATTCGAGCCAGCAACCCTTCAGTGTGTGGGCTGACATTCTAACCACTGAGCTCCATCGGCCAGGGCCAGCCATCAGTTCTTATTGTAAATGTTAGAAGCAGCAGAGAAACGAGGGAGATCTTTGCAGAGATTCCTATGAGGACCATTTCATTGTCCCCCTGCCCTCTTTGCCCTAAGGTGGTCGGTTCCATGCCAACTGCAGGGAGTGCCGGCTCTGTTCCCGAAAACCTGAACCTGTTTCCAGAGCCAGGGAGCAAATCAGAAGAAACAGGCAAGAAGCAGCTCTCCAAGGACTCCATCCTCTCCCTGTATGGCTCCCAGACGCCTCAGATGCCTGCCCCAGGTAGATTTCTTGGGCGAGGGAGGGGGGGAGGCTGGCAGTATGCCAGGTAGAGACATGAGGGCTTAAATGTAGAAATTATTTGTTGCGACAGGGCAGTTGCTTTGGCGCAGTGATAGCATACTCCAAACAAGCCTCAACGGGAGTGACATTTCTTGTGAAGCCACAGAGTATCAGCAGATTCTTCTGAGGGCTCTGGTGTCACATGTCTGTGAAGTCCGACTCAAGTCTGGACCTAGACTTTAAAGGGGAAGTAGCTAGATTAGCAACCCTCTGGTGGGAAGCCATGACAAGTCTTGTAGGCAATCTGTCTGTCTGTGTGTCTGTGTAAAAGAGCATTCTGAGTTGTAGTCCTGAGAAATTCTAATTGGAAAGGAGCAGCCAGTGAGACTTTGGACTGACTTTGTGCGCTTTCCTAACAATTCTGTACGTGTGTTCTCTTGGCAGCAATGTTCATGGCTCCTGCTCAGATGGCCTATCCCACAGCCTACCCCGGCTTCCCTGGGGTTGCACCTCCTAACAGCATCATGGGGAGCATGATGCCCCCACCAGTAGGCATGGTAGCCCAGCCAGGGGCTTCAGGGATGGTTGCCCCCATGGCCCTGCCTGCAGGCTACGTGGGTGGTATGCAGGCATCAATGATGGGTGTGCCAAATGGAATGATGACCACCCAGCAGGCTGGCTACATGGCAAGCATGGCAGCTATGCCCCAGACTATGTATGGGGTTCAGCCAGCTCAGCAGCTGCAATGGAACCTTACTCAGGTAAGCTACCCCGTTTTATTTGGGACAGGAGTTTCCAGACTTCCTCAAGGCCATTTCACCTTGTGTCTCCCTCTTATCCTTTACATCTTCACAGTAGATGCGATAACATGAGAGACATTTATGCTTAGGTTTGCGTTCTTTTCTTTCTTCTTTCTAGAAGGTCTATCCACATTCAGACTTTCTGCAGAGTTCTGGATTCCTGTAGAATAAGGATAACTGCCAAAATCTAAATCTCTCCATGCATCCATCAAAATAAAAAACAACCTATACTGATAAATAAGGAGCGCAAATAAAACCTCCCGTAACTTACCCATGGCTACCGCGTCCAGTAGACAGAATGCTACAGACTTCAAATGACATGGCAGTTGGCATAGAAACACCTAAACCCAGCAGAGCCAGCATCTCGGGGAAGGCGACAGACCATAGATGAAGTCATCCCCAGAAAGAGTAAGACCTGCCCTGACCGGAAACGCGCTGAGAAGAGATCTGAGACCTGGTAGATTGAGGCTCTAGTTGTATGGAGAATCAAAAGTAAGGGATTGAAATATATAGGAATTCAGGTGATAGCCCTGGAAAACATGGCTTCTAGGGGAGGTGGGGTGACTTACAAGGAGAATTGCTCTTTGAAGGACGGTGTATTTCACCATCTTTCTCCCTGCAAAATAGTCATTTCCCTGTACTAACAGAAGAGGGTGCTCTTGAACTAAAAATGGCACTGATGGGTTGTAACACACAGAAAAATGACAACTAATAATTGTAAAAAAATAGGTATCACATATTCTCGAAGAAACAGGCTTCAGGTATGTATTAATTTCAGTGAAAAACATGATGACAGTTACTACCTTAGCCAAGTGATCAAAGGTAAAATAACAGACAGTGGCACCAATTAGTATCATGTGCTTTCTGGTACCTTGCATTAAGACCTAAGAAGGGCACAATATCACCTACATAAATTCTTGCAGAAATGGATTCAATCATATAAAATCCAAATGGAAGGATTTTCTGCCAACTAAGTGGCCTAGATTCTTAAAACCGTGTCAGGAAAAAAAGAAAGAGGTGGCTGGGGAAGTGTTCTAGCTTAAAGGAGACTGAAGAGACATGAAGATGAAATGCATATCAGAATATTGCAGTAACCTTAAATCTCTTAAGCATGTGCACTGTATTGTGGTTCCAGGAATGTGTTATTATGAAACGCTTACTGACGTAATGGGTGAAATGTCACAATATCTGTAGTTTTCAGTGCCCATCAAAATTTTTCAAGTGTATACAGATGAATCAGAAAAGATGGCGAAATGCTAATAATTGGTGAATTTAAGAAAGGAATAGATGGGCTTTGCTGTACTATTTCTTCCAGCTTTTCTGTAAGCTTGGCATTTTCTTTAAAAGTTGGTGGGAGAAAAATAAACCCCTAAGGAAAAGGAGCTCCTGGAGAAAATGTCCTGGGCTTAGGAAACGTAAGGCATTTTGCTTTGATCGATTGTTCCTTCTGTTCTCTGCCAGAGGCCAGTCTCCGTCTGATTCAAAAAGAGGCCCTGAGCCCACTGCCTCTTTTCTCCCCACAACGTCCCTCTCAGGCACCCAAGACTCGTTGGGCTTTTTGTGTGCCTTCCTTTGTCATCTGAACACTCTGGCTTCTTTATCTTCTCCCTGAGCGTGCGCAGGCGCTTTCACTGGCAGCAATAACTCTGCTGGAGACCAGGCTGGGCGCTGGCAAGGCAGTTTCTCTGTGCCCTCGGGGCTGTCGTCGGCAAATGAACAGTCAGCCCCTTCTTTTTAAAAACAAACAAAAAATTATTTATTTATTTATTTTTTTAAAATACATTTTATTGATTTTCCACAGAGAAGAAGGGAGAGGGATAGAGAGCTAGAAACATCAATGAGAGAGAAACATCTATCAGCTGCCTCCTACACACCCCCTACTGAGAATGAGCCCGCAGCCAAGGTACATACCCTTGACCAGAATCGAACCCGGGACCTTTCAGTCCGCAGGCTGATGCTCTATCCACTGAGCCAAACCAGTTTCAGCAACAGTTGGCCCCTTCTGTTTAGGATGAGGGCTTGGAAGGAAAAAACAGTAACTTCTCATCTGTTTTTATGTTGTCTAGCTCCAGGATTCCTTCTTTCCCTCCCCAACTGTGACTAGTCTCTGTCACTATCTCTCTTCTGAAAAGTCCTTCATTTATGTGGCCTGGTGCCCTGAGATGCTCTGTTGAGGTTCAGAGCAGTTAAGAACCATCACAGAGTTCTCCTTTGTCTCGTTCTGCCCATCCCACTGACAGAGGACTCCTGCCCTGCCTTTCGCACTGACTGGCTGCGTGCCCACATCCTGGTCTGACGTCTCCTCTCTCCCTTCCAGATGACCCAGCAGATGGCTGGGATGAACTTCTGTGGAGCCAACGGCATGCTGAGCTACGGACAGTCAATGAACGGCGGGAACGGGCAGGCGGCAAGTCAGACTCTCAGCTCTCAGATGTGGAAATGAGAACTAATCATCACCCGTGTGGCTGCCGCTCTCCTCTGCCCTCCCCTCCCCCCTTTCCTCCTCCTACAACTTTTCACGCCTTCCCCTTTTCCTACCTCTCTCCATTTGGTTTAGAAATTGCTCAGTCTGTCATTTGGGGTTTGGCATTCTGCCCGCCCAGCCGCCTCCCAGACACGCAGACCTCTCTGTTGTTTTATATTGTACGTGTCCCCTGGCCATCCCCACTCCCTCCCCGGCGGCCCCAGTCCTCTCCTGCACCAGCACCTTAGCACCTGTGGGCAGAAGGCACTTACTGTGGAAGGTTAGACCTCCAATCAGATTCCCAGAAGGGTCTAGATATAGGTTTTGTGTTTTAGGCCAAGAGGGGAGGGTTTGGAGGTACTTCCGTGTGTGAATAACTGTTTCTACATATTTAAGTTATTATTGAAGAGGGAGGCATCACGCTCCCATGATTTGTGGGAATGAAGAAAGTGCTGAAATAAAATCAAATACTTATACTGGGTCTTAGATCAGGTTGGCCCCTCGCCTTGGGGAGATACAAGCCCCATCTATGAGGATGAGCAAAAACGTCCCTCCCCGGTCCCCTGCACTGCTTTCTGGATCTGAAGCCTCAGGACTTGCTGCTTAAGTCAACCTTTATCAGCACCAAAGACTTACGAAGGTCCCTCCCAAAACACAGCCCTTTCCTGCCTCATCCTGCCTACAGTGAGACCTGGCCCCACCGTTAGAGGACCAGCCCTTCCGGAGGGAGTGCAGAGCTTAACGCCTGTGTGCGTGAGTGTGCGCGTGAGTGTGCGCGTGTTTGTGCGCGTGTTTGTATGTGTGTGTGTGCACGTGTGTGTTTGTGTGTGCATGCGTGCACACGTGAGTGTGCGTGAGTGTGCGCATGTTTGTGTGCGTGAGTGTGTGTGTGTGCATGTGTGTGTGCATGTGAGTGTGCGCATGTGCGTGAGTGTGTGCGTGTGTGCGTGTGTGCGCGCGCTTTTGTGTGTGTGTGCGTGAGAGTGTGTGCGTAAGTGTGCGTGAGTGTGTGTGTGCGCGCGCGTGTGTGTGTGAGTGTGTGTGTGTGTGTGTGTGTGTGTGTGTTTTCCACCTCCCACTCTCTCCCCATCTGCTCTGGGTATTTTTGTTTTTGGTTTTTCAGGTTTAGGTTTACAACAGAGAGAAATTAATTTATCAACAGCCTAAAACTGTTGCCAGTTTTTCTTACAGTTAAACAAAGAATTACAGTCTCATTGACGGCTCTCTTTCTCCTTTCCCCTCTCCAACCTGCTAACCACCAGTCCATGCCTGTGTGTCCCGGGCTGCTCTGCTCCCCCACCAGTGCAGGTGTGTGAGGCGGAGAGCCGGGCAGCTTCCTCTCAGTCGCTGTCCACCCCACTGGAACATTAAAACCAGAACACGTTGCTTAGAAGCTTCCAGCTGTGGGAACCGCGGCCCCGGTTGCCTTTCTCCTGTGTGCGTGTAAATTCCTTAATAAACATCGCAGGGAAGCACTGTCTGCGTGCTGTCGCTGTGTGTCCCTCTTGGAGGAGGGTGAGTCCCACCCCATTTCCTGCTCTCGGGGGCCAGTTCCCTCATTTCCCGTGTGGGGCAAACCAAAGGCCCAGGTCGTCAGAAAGGGGCCTTTATCCAGCAGTGTCCTGGGCTGTGAGCTGAGGAAGCTGGAAACCTGCACCTGCTGGAGTCACAGAAGGTGGGAACTGGAAGCATTTCCCCTCCCTGCCTCCCCGCCTTCCTCTGAGTACACCTTGTGAACTTCCAGATGTGCGAGGACAGCACAGTGGCTAAGAGAGAAACGTGGATCAGGCTGCCGGTATTCATATCCCTTCTTACTGTGTGACCTGGGCAAGCAATAAGCCCCCTGCCTCGGTGTGAAATAGGCTGGTGGTCATGCTCAGGGAAAAGGAAGCAGTTCCCGGGGTGCGCATAGCACAGTATGGAGCCCTTATCAAGCGTTAGCAAGTGGCATGTGCCAGACCTGTGTTAGGCATGCATTCACTCAACAACTGCTTAGTGTTCACAGTGTGCCAAACAGTGGCTTAGGCTCTGAAATAAAGTAATGGATCGAAACTCCCCAATCTTGCCGGAACCGGTTTGGCTCAGTGGATAGAGCATCAGTCTTTGGACTGAAAGGTCCCAGGTTTGAGGGCACATCCCCAGTGGGGGGGGTGCAGGAGGCAGCTGATGTTTCTCTCTCATCAACGTTTCTAGCTCTGTATCCCTCTCCCTTCCTCTCTGTAAAAAAATAAAAATATATATATTTTTAAAAACTCAATCTCATAGGGTAGTGGGTAGGAGAGGTGGACATGAAAGTACAATGATTTCATTCCAAACACCAACAATACAAGGTACGTTAAGGGGGAGGAGCGGGTATGGGACCGTTTGAATGGAGAAGTCAGGAGGAGGTGCCATTTGAAATGAGGCCTGAAGAAGCAGCCAGCTGGGTGGGCATCTGGAAAAGGAGCAGACGGACGAGGTCAGCGTCTGTGCTGGAAATGGTTGGGCTGGAGTGTCGGTCTGGGAGCTGTTGGAGATTGGCGGTCGGTAAAGCCTTGAGCCGGGGCTGTCACCTAAGAAAACCCCACGAGAAGAGGACTGAGCCGGGGACCCATTGGCTTTAGGATTTGGAAAGGAGGGATCAGGAAAAAAAACATTTGACGTAGTCCCACTCTTCTGCTCAGTCTCCTGGGGCAGTAGACCTAGAGGAGAGGCAGTAGTTGACCAGTGGGTGGAGAGGAGTATTCCAGACAGACAGTAGGGTGTAAACAGAGAGAGCCCTATAAGAGCACAGAACATTCAGAAAGCACAGCATGTGAGTGGGGGCAGGGGGACAGGTCACGGGGGCTTCCTACTCCCTAGGAAGGGCTTTAGCTTGAAGTGTGAGCCATGGAGAGACATAGATTTGAGTTCTAGGCAGCTACAGAGAACAGTGTGTTTGAGGGGATAAGTAGGGGACAGAGGAAAGGTAAGGACTGAACTGGGGTGCGGCAGAAGGGGTAGGGAGAATGGAGTGGCAGAGAGCAGCCATTCATGAACTGCTTATGAGGTTATGTGAGATGCTCAGAGGTCTTTCATACCAATGCTGAGATGCGTTTGGGAAAGATTGCTTGTTGTGTTGCCTCTTGTGCATCTGGAGTATAATATCCAATAGTATGGCTCTGGAAAGTCTTGTGGTAAAGACTTTTTACAAAATCAATTCTTTCTTAGTGCAGTTTTAGGTTAACAAATCTGAGTGGAAGGTCCAGAGACTCCCCACTCACCTGCTGCCCCCTCCCCAACCTCCGCTTCTTTTGACCTCCCACCAGAGAGACATTCGTTACCACTGACGAGCCTACTCTGACACAGCGCTATCGCCACCAATTCTCACTTACAGTAGGGTTCACCTTGGCCTGCATGCTAGGGGTTTGACAAATGTATAACAACACCAGCTCAACGTTATAGAATCACACAAATTAGTTTCCCCATCCTAAAGATCCTGTGTGGCCTACCTCCTCACCCCTCCCTCCTGGCACCCACAGATTTTTTTTTTTTTTTACTGTCTCCATAGTTGTGCCTTTTTCAGAATGTCCTATAGTTGGAATCATGTTACAGCATTTTGAGATTGGTGTATTTCCCTTAATAATATGTATTTAAGTTTCCTCCATGGCTTTTCATGCCTTGTTAGCTTGTATACTTTAAATATATTTTACTGATTTTTTTACAGATAGGAAGGGAAAGGGATAGAGAGTTAGAAACATCGATGACAGAGAAACATTGATCAGCTGCCTCCTGCACACCACCCACTGGGGACGTGCCTGCAGCCAAATACATGCCCTTGACTAGAATCGAACCTGGGAACCTTCATTCCGCAGGCCGACGCTCTATCCACTGAGCCAAATCGGTTAGGGCAATAACTCGTATATACTTTACAACTGAACAATATTCCTTCGTCTGGGTATACCACCGTTTATTCACTCACTGAAGGACATCTTTGTTGCTTCCAAAGTTCTGGTAATTATAAGTAAAGTTACTACAGGGAAGAGGAGGGGACAGATTACCAGGGAGAACCAACGACTTAGATAGTGCTTTATTTCCTAAACTACAGGAAAAATAAGCAGGTGATTATTATATGGATCTTTATACTTTTTAGCATGTTTTAAAATGATGCTTTATATAATAGAATATTTATGTGACAAGGATTAGAAAATATAAACTACTAAAAAATAATTTTAGGGGTGGGGGAAAAATAAAATAAAAAATAATTTTAAAATAAGTTACTATAAACATTTGTATGCAGGTTTTTGTGTGGACACAAGTTTCCAATTCATCTGGGTAAGTACGGTGGAGTGTGATGACTGGATCGTATGATAAGAGTGTGTTTAGATTTTGTTGGTGGGGGGGGGTCCCAGAACCCACTACCTGGACCCTCTACCTCCTTGACCTCCTTTGCTCTGGCTGCCAGGCCAGGAAGAGGCCCAGCCTTCCTGCACAAAAGCAAGCTTTGAAGCTGGAGGGAGGGAGTGAGGAAGGAGGGGTCACCTGGTGTGTACTTTTGGATTATTTCTCAGAAATCTGCTCTTCCTCTTCCTCCTCCTCTTCCTCCTCCTTCTCTTCCGACACCACTGCAACCAGGCGGCAGCTGGGGGAGCCACCTGTGAGCCAAGCTGAGTTGTGGGGAGGAGTGGGGAGAAGGGACCTCTGCTCCCCCTCTCTGAGCCTCAGTTTTGGCATCTGGAACAGTGGTCACCAACCGGTGGACTGTGAGGTCTCAAAGGTTGGCAACCGCTGATCTAGACTATGGGCATGACAACCCAGATGCTGGCTCCTGTCAACCCAGGTGCTCCAGGAAGCGGAGGTCAGGCTGGACTCCTCAGGGGGAAGGCCTGGGAGGTGAGGGCGGGGCTGGGGCGCACGCTGCCTCATCCTGCAGCTGGTAACCTGGTGGAGTCCCGCTGTTTGGGGCGAGGGCCTTATGTGGAGAATGCCCTGCCTCCCCTCCCTGTCGGTGGCTCAGATTATTTTTCCTGGGTCTGGCTTCTGCCACCTGTCTCCCTGGCAGATTTTGTTTTACCTGGAAGATAAATTGATGGGAGGTCTGCAAACTGGCTAACTTCCTGCATTCGCTCTGTGAGACGTGGCTCTGCCCCTGTGCCGCCGCCTCATCCAGGTCCCTCATGCCACCCTGCCTGCCTCGGTGGCAGCATCTCTCATCCCCTGGAGCCCCATGCAGCACAGCACCCTCAGCGCTCCCTGCAGTCTGAGCCCCAGCCTGCAGCTCCAGGGTCCTTAAGCCAGGCTGGGAGGGGCCGGTGGGGTGACCCCTTGGACAGTGGGTGTAGACACCAGGTGGGCACTTTGCCCACCCTACCTCACCCACCGCCCCTCCCAGATGTCCTGAGCATCAAGTCTGTGCTGCTGTCCAGCTCCTGGAGGGCTCGGCCTGCGCAGTGCGGCCACCAGACAGGACCCTCTGCAGAGTGGCAGGCAGAACAGGCCTCTCCGGGCATCTGGATGCCCACCTGGCCCCAAAGCCCTCCTTCAGCCTCCCACCTGCCCCTTCTAAAGGGTAACCAGCTGTGGTTTCAGCCCAGCCCAACCCAGCCGCCTGCCTTGGGAGGAGGCGGCAGAGGCTGTCGCCATCTGCTGTCCCGTTTCTGTTACTGCAGAAGGTAAGGGTCATCCCTGTCGCCCAGCCAGTCCAGCACATCATTCCCATTTCACAGCCCAGAGCCATTTGCTTTTCTTCAAAAGCAGAAAATTTGCTTTTCTTCATTGCTGCCTGTAGGTGAGAGTTATTTGTCCCATTACTGTCAGCTTTAATCCAAGTAACTGCCTGCCAAGCTTCTCCAGTGTTCTTTCTCCTTTTGCAATTAGTATGTATCCCTTTCCTCACCAAACTTTCAAGTGATTCAATTATTTGTATTAGTACAGATTCATGGATCCTATTTTATTCAATGAGATGTAATCTAATGCTTTCATCACACACACACACACACTTTTTTTTTTTTTTTAAATCTTTACATGAGGATTGAAAAATGAAACTCCAACCAAGCTACCCTCTCAGGGTTGTCATCACATATTTTTTTTTAATATATTTAATTTTTTACAGAGAAGAAGGGAGAGGGATAGAGAACCAGAAACATCAATGAGAGAGAAACACTGACCAGCTGCCTCCTGCACACCCCTTACCGGGGATGTGCCCACAACCAATGTACATGTCCTTGACTGGAATCAAACCTGGGACCCTTCAGTCCGCAGGCCGATGCTCTATCCACTGAGCCAAACAACTTTCAGCTGTCATCACATATTTTGATTCTCAAATTGTCCCAGATTTTAATAGTGGTTTTGTGTACTTTTTTTTTTTTAATATATTTTATTGATTTTTTACAGAGAAGAAGGGAGAGAGATAGAGAGCCAGAAATGTTGAGAGAGAAACATCGACCAGGTGCCTCCTGCACACCCCCCTCCAGGGATGCACCCACAACCAAGGTATTGTACATGCCCTTGACCGGAATCGAACCTGGGACCTTTCAGTCCGCAGATCGAGCTCTACCACTGAGCCAAACCGGTTTCGGCGGTTTTGTGTACTTTTGACATGTTCCTATTGCTGAGTACTTCCTTCTTTCTGGAACAAAATGATTTCTCTCGTATTTTTCCTGCGTAGACCTGGAATTACCCATTTCTCCAAGGGGCTCTGGTTTCTTTTATTGGAGAATCAAGGCCTTTGTGGGCTGAGCTAGGGAAAACACATATTCTCTGCATGGATACATACTAGCATATATATTTACTTACATTAAAATCTGCATTTATTTAGTTTATACCGATACCTTAACTCTGCTGGGTTCATTTTTGTTTAATTGATTTTTTACAGAGGAAGGGAGAGAGATAGTCAGAAACATCGATGAGAAACATTGACCAGCTGCCTCCTGCACCCCCCCCACTGGGGACGTGCCCACATCCAACACACATGCCCTTGACCAGAATCGAACCTGGGACTCCTGTCTGCAGACTGACGCTCTATCCACTGAGCCAAACCGGTTTTGGCAAGGTTCATTCTTTTTTTCCCTTTTCTGTATTTGTAATTTCATTCTCTATTAGCTCCCATTATCTTCAATATCCCACCTACCCAGATTCCCTTTTTCACCCTGCTTAGACTCCAATACCCCTCCCTACACAAATCTATTCCCTCTCCTTTGTTTTTTTTTTTAAAGAAAGCAACTATACTAGGTGATGGGTACAGAGGGGTTATTATCCATCCTTTTGCTTGAAATTTCAAATAAAAAATCCACAAAGGACTTGTATGTATGCTGCATGCATATAAGCCTAACCATGGACAACAGGAGGGTGGGGACATGTGGGGAGGGGTTTGGGATGGGAATGGGGGGAATGAGGACAAATATGTGATACCTAATCAATAAAGAAATTAAAAAATAAATAATCCACTTAAAGGTTTGCAGATTACTGGACTTTATTAAGATGTAATCACTGCTAAGTACATAGAAGCAACTTGCCTAACCAAAATCCATGAGGTGTTCACATGAACTTGCAGTTACACAAATAAGAAACAAATGGCATCTTCAAAACCACAAGGAACTCAAGGGTGATTAATCTGCATATTTATTTCAAGCTGCTGAAGAGTTTGTGGGCCACCTAGAAGGAGGAAAGAAAAGAAGTCATTAATTGGCAGCTTTAATGTCATGGCTTACAGGGTTCTGTATGACCTAGACTGGTCCTGTCCCTTCTCTCATGATTCCCCTTCTCACATACTCACACCCCTCCTGAGCCACAGTGAACTCCCTGTTACCTGAATCTCCCTTCTACCTGGAACTCTCTTTTCCACTTGCTTTCATCTTTTTCTTTAAAACTTAAGTTACTATGAAAGCCTTCTCTAAATAAGCCCTATTTCCACACAAATCTGTTCCTCCGTCTTCCCCACAGAAATGTATACCTCCCATATCATAGTGCTTATCAATTCCACAAATATACAATTCTAAATGCCAGGTATCGTTCTAGGTGCTGAGTTACAAAGGTAAACACAATCTCTCTGCCTCTTATGGATGGAACTTGGAGATAACAAAGAAATATAATATACACATAAGGTCACTTCTGAAAGTGATAAATCCTGAGGAAAGTAAAAAGATGCATCTTTAAATTCTGGGTCAGTGAGACCACCCTAAGATGGTTAAACTCAGAGACTTACCAATTTACTAACTGTTCTCTGGCTCATAATGAAAAAGAGACCCATCTCACTCCCAGATGTTGATCTAGTGCTTTTGCTCATAAATATAACCATTTTTAACAATACATTTTTGTGGTATTAAGTACATTCATACTGTCCTGCCATCATTAATCTCTAGATTCAACTGAAACTCTGTACCAATTAAATAATAATTCTCCAATTTCTCTTTCCTCAAACCTTGGCAACTCCCATTCTAGTTTGTCTCTATCAATTTGACTACTTTAGGTGGGTATCTCATATAAGTGGAATGGTATTTGTCCTCTGTGATGGATTCACTTAGTATGTCTTTAAATTTCCTATTTTGTTTATCCATCTATTAACGAACACTTGGGTTGCATCCACCTTTTGGATATTGTGAATGCTGCTATAAACATGCATGCATAAATATCTTTTTCAAATCCTTGAAAAAAGTCTCAGTTCTTTTGGGTATTTACACTGAAGTGAAACCGCTGGATCAATACAAAAATTCTATGTTTAGAGTTTGGGTAAAGTGCTTGATTTCCTTTTTTTTTATTTTTGAGAGGGAAGGAAGAGACAGAACAGATTTGCTGTTCCACTTATTTATACGTTCATTGGCTAATTCTTTTTTTTTTTTTAAATATATTTTATTGATTTTTTACAGAGAGGAAGGGAGAGATATAGAGAACTAGAAACGTCGATGGGAGAGAAACATCGACCAGCTGCCTCTTGCACACCCCCTACTGGGGATGTGCCCACAACTCGGGTACATGCCCTTGACCAGAATCGAAACTGGGACCCTTCAGTCCGCAGACCGACGTTCTACCACTGAGCCAAACCGGTTTGGGCTTTTTTTTTTTTTTTTTTTTTTTAAGGTATGTTGTTATTGATTTCAGAGGGAGGAAGGAACAGGGAGAGAAAGAAACATCAGTGATGAAAATCATTGATTGGCTGCCTCCTGCACACCCCCTACTGGGGTTGAGCCTACCACCTGGGCTTGTGCCCTGCCCAAGAATCGAATTGTAATCCTCTGGTCCATAGATCGATGCTCAAACCACTGCTCAATGGCGGGCAGCTGGCTGATTCTTACATGTGCCCTGACGAGTGAAGGACCCCGCCACCGTGGTGTATAAGGATGACTCTCTCACCAACTGAGCCACCAGGCCGGAGCCTTGATTTCGTTTTATTGCCAGAGAATATTTCACTATATGGATATATCAGTTCATGGACACTTACAGTGTTTCTACATTTTGGCTATAAAGAATAATGCTTCTGCTGAGCCAGTGTGGTTCAATGGTTGAGCATCTACCCATGAACCTGGAGATCACAGTTCGATTCCCAGTCAGGGCACATGCCCACACTGCAGGCTCGATCCCCAGTAGGTGGTGTGCAGGAGGCAGCTGATCAATGATTCTCTCTCATCACTGATGTTTCTATCTCTCACTCTCTCTCCCTTCTCACTCTGAAATCAATAAAAACATGTGTGTGTGTGTGTGTGTGTATATATATATATATATATATATATATATTTTTTTTTTAAATGCTTCTATGAAAATTTGTGTTTTTATGTAGACTTTTTTAAAAATATATTTTATTGATTTTTTTTACAGAGAGGAAAGGAGAGGGATAGAAAGTTAGAAACATCGATGAGAGAGAAACATCGATCAGCTGCCTCTTGCACACACCCCCACTGGGGATGTGCCTGCAACCAAGGTACATGCCCTTGACCAGAATCGAACCCAGGACCCTTCAGTCCTCAGGCTCTATCCATTGAGCCAAAACGGTTTCGGCTGTAGACATGCTTTCATTTCTCTTAGGTATATACCCGAGTAGAACTGATGGGTGACTCTATCTTTAATCTTTTGAAAAATGAGTTTCCTACAGGCTTTACCAATTCACATCCCATCGGCAGTGTTTGAGGTTTCCAATTTCCCCACATAGGCCCATACTTGTGACCCACTTTTTTGTTAGGAGTCAACCTAGTGCAGCAGTTGCTAACCAGTGGTCCGCGAGGTCCAAGAGGTTGGAGACTGCTGATCTAGCGGCTGTGAAGTAGTATCTCAGTGTGGTTTTGATCTGCATTTCCCTGATAGCTATGGTATTGAACATCTTTTTTTTTTTTTTTTTAATATATTTTATTGATTTTTCACAGAGAGGAAGGGAGAGAGATAGAGAGCCAGAAACGTCCATGGGAGAGAAACATTGACCAGCTGCCTCCTGCACACCCCCTACTGGGGATGTGCCCGCAACCAAGGTACATGCCCTTGACCGGAATCGAACCTGGGACCTTTCAGTCCGCAGACCGACGCTCTACCACTGAGCCAAACCGGCTTCGGCTGAACATCTTTTCATAATGCTTATCAGCCAACCAGTTTTAACATAAGCAACCATATCAAACTTTGCCTACCCTATAACTTATTATTATTTTAATGTATTTTATTAGATTTTTTTAGAGACAGAGGGAGAGTGTACCTATCCTATAGAAAATAACTTATTATTATATGTCAGAAAGCCAAACAAGTTTACTAAAAAAAAAAAAAAAATCCTTTTTGGACCAACTGCTATGTAAAAGACACACTGGAGGATATAAATTGTTTTAAAGAACAGCTGTTACTTAAAAATACAAAATCCAGCTTCCCCACTTTTTAGCAGTACAAGTTGGGATATCGTTTATCTTCTCTGAGTCTCGGTTTCTTATCTGTAACATGGGGGTGATATCTGGCTCAAGTGAAAGTGGTAGGATTACGTAAGATTACGTATGTCAAGTGCCCAGTGCTGTGCCTGACGTATATTGGGCCACGATAAATGCTAGGGTGAAAAGATTGTCAGAACCAAGTCTTCCCGGCCCCTGTAAGCTTCCCCCTCTCGACCGGAGGCTGACTTACACAGTGGTCCCTTGCATGCAGGAAGTCAAAGAGCTCCTCCGTGCAGTCCTCCTCCGTCTGTGACCTGGAGGAAACGCGCTCATCGCAGAGCGCCAGCCGCTCCCGAGCCTTCACACATTTCTCCAACTGCTCGCAATGCTCTCTCACGGTGGTCAGGGGGTCCTGATGGAGAAACAAACAAACCAGAAAACAAAATGGGGTTTCAGGAGGCGATCTACAAATCATATGCTTTGATTAATACAACCACTAAACCAAGGTGCTGCCTAATTACCATGCAGAAGGCTAGCTGGCAGAGCCATGCTGCCACCAGAAATGGCAGAATAGGGTCTCTCATTCAATTCTGATGCTAAGAAGTAGGAAAAAGGTTCACATTTCTGCCTTCCAAGGCTGCCAGTATGTGCTGAGAGCCTCAGTCCTATCTGAAATAAGACGATAAAGGAAACCTGGCCAAACTTGAAGTAGATCTATAGGAGGCCTGACTTGTTAACATAGCATTTGGGATTATGTAATGTCTGTGAATTTCAATCTGACAGCAAGGCCTATCCATCCCAGCTAGAAAGGCAGTGTTAACATAGAGAAGGGTCGCCCAGGGAAAGATCCTTTCAGAATTCTTTATTAAACCACAAAGACAGAGTGCCAGGCTCTCAAAATGCTGCTGTGCTCCCTGACACAACTGGAGAAGCCCCAAACCCAGAAAGGACCAGCTTCCCAGGCCACACCCCAAACACTCCACTGCATAGGAAGCAAAGCCTTCACCACTCCCACTCTCTCCGAGCTTCAAACACAAAGACTCTTAAAATGGCTTCAGAGTTTTAGGAAGCTCAACCTTCCTTTTATTGTGACGGTTCCAAAACAAAGACAGGTCTTACCACTAATTCCTCCTCCTCTTCCTCCTGCAAAAGGAAAACAAAATTAATGTTAGCAGCATTTTTATGACATATGTATTCCCAATCATATTTATCTTGTAATTATTGATGACAGACATTACATTAACCATGTTTTAAAATTTCTGTATTTTATGATGTTTTGACATTTTAGGGGCCCTGCCAATCCTAGAGAGAGGCCCCTCCCAGGGCAGCTAATTTCTAGGGAGTGCAACAACTCGCCTGGGGACATACCTCTCATATGTAAAACAACCAATCCAAATACCTAACCAACAACTACTTACTTAGCTAACTCACCCACACTACACCAAATATTGCCCCTGCCCTAACCACCCCAGGGCCTAACAACTAGGGACCACCCCCTAGCCCAGAAGCCTCAGAAACGATTCTATCCAATCCTAAACTTGCTAAAGCTTACCTACTCCTCCCCTTAGAAACCAAGGCGCTCTCTCCTTTCCCTGCTTCTTCTGCTCCTGAGTGGTCTAGGCACTTCTCTACGTGGCCCTATGTGGTATGGCCTTACTACTTTTAAGTTCTTTGGTGAACTATCTATAATAATAAAAGCGTAATATGCTAATTAGACCAGACAGATGAAAAACCTTCCAGATGACTTCTAGACAAAGCTGGAGCTGCCAGGGCCGAGGGCAGCCACTGTGGATGCAAGGGCTGTGCCCCTGCACAAATTTCGTGCATCGGGCCTCTAGTAAGTAATAAACTCTTCTTCCAAAAACAATCCTCTCAATGTCTGTAAGCTTACCATACCGTGTTAAAACAAATCCTGGGTACACTTCAACAAAGACATACTATCTCACTTTCATTAGCAACGACCTAAAGCAGCGGTCACCAAGGGTGGCCCACAAGGCCCGAAAGGTTGGCGAATGCTAAGAATTCACAACACTATTAAGTGTATAAAGCACTCTCATATGATTTGGTTAATCACAACAGCGCTAAGGGACTTCCAGTCGAGAGATAACACTAATTAGACATTTTCTGATATAAATTCAAGCTGCCGGATGTTCATATGGAACATTAAAAAAAGTATTTTGTTCTGCCCTAACCAGTTTGGCTCAGTGGATAGAGCGTTGACCTGAGGACTGAAGGGTCCCAGGTTTGGTTCTGGTCAAGGGCATGCACCTTGGTTGCGGGCACATCCCCAGTAGGGGGTGTGCAGGAGGCAGCTGATTGATGTTTATCTCTCATTGATGTTTCTAACTCTCTCCCTCTCCCTTCCTCTCTGTAAAAAAATCAATAAAACACATATTTTATAAAAAAATATTAAAGAAAGTATTTTGTTCTAAATTCTGGTGAGTCCCATTATTACTAGAAATAGCTAAATTTAGTCCTTACATTCTAAAACCAAGTTAGGAGAAAAACTAACATTTTTTCCTAGATTATGAACTTTTGAATTGTGAATATGAAAATGGCCAAACCAACACTCTTCTTTAGCCAGAGCTTAAACTAAAGATGGTTACAGCTGCTACTTTTTGGCTTGCAGAACTCCCAGGGCTCTAAGTAGACTATCAATATAAGATGTCTGCATGTCTCCATCCACAAGCTTGGAAACACCAGGCCCTTCCTATTTATTTCCGATTCTGGTGCACAGTCTCAAGATTAGTTTTCTTTCTTCCAAAGAGAACAATATCAAAAAAGATTCCCTAAGGGAGCATCAGCATAGGCCTAAATCTGGGGCAGAAGAGTCTATTTGATCAGTATTTCAACCTGTCATGCATGTGTCAATTTTTGGGAGAAGGGAAAGTGTAGAGAGTGCCTGGGAAGGCACAAATGCATTTCTTTCTTTTTTTAAAAAAAATATATATATTTTAATTAATTTTTTACAGAGAGGAGAGAGGGAGGGTCAGAAACCTCGATGAGAGAGAATCATCGATCAGCTGCCTCTTGCACAACCCCCATTGGGGATGTGCCCTTGACCAGAATTAAACCCGGGACCCTTCAGTCCACAGGCTGACGCTCTATCCACTGAGCCAAACGGGTTTCTGTGAAACCAGGACCTTTCAGCCCGCACATAATCTCCTTTGTCTTGACATTTAGTTAGACTTCCTATTTTTTTTTTTGCTGTATAAAATAAACTCGCTGTATTGGCTCTGGGTCCCTGTCCCTGTCAAAGGACTGTGGTCCCATCCAGCCCCAGCTTTTTCCTTCCATCTCTGTGTCTGTCTTTTTCTTTCATTTTCTCAATCCCCAGCAGCCCCTACTCAGGAACCAGGCCAGTCTCTAGCCGTGTTGGACATGGAAACCAGAGAAATATTTACAGGGAATACTTCCTGTAAAGAAGGCATAGAAGGAAATAAAAGAACTAGCTCAGCCATCCCTCAATGTCTCCAAAATTCCAACACAATCTGGCTCATTCTCTACCTGCCCTTCAGAAAGGACCAAAACAAAGCCCATGACAGCTGGGAGGGGTAAAGGAGTTCAACTGTAACCCAGGCCATTTATTCCCACAAATGGCAAAGGCCTCACCTAAACATGAAGATGCTGCCCTAGCCCAGTGGCTGGCAAACTCATTAGTCAACAGAGCCAAATATCAACAGTACGACGATTGAAATTTCTTTTGAGAGCCAATTTTTTTAAACTTAAACTTCTTCTAACGCCACCTCTTCAAAATAGACTCGCCCAGGCCGTGGTATTTTGTGGGAAAGCCACATTCAAGGGGCCAAAGAGCCGCATATGGCTCGCGAGCCGCAGTTTGTCGACCGCGGCCCTAGTCGGTTTGGCTCAGTGGTAGAGTGTGGGCCTGTGGACTGAAGGATCCTGGATTTGATTTCAGTCAAGGGCCCATGCCCAGGTTGTGAGCTGGATCCCTAGTAGGGGGCGTGTCATTGATGTTTCTATCTTTCTCTCCCTTCCTCTCTGAAATCAATAAGAACATTTAAAAATAAACATAAAGAGTTATTTAGGAGGTAAAATTCTAGTTTTCCATTAAATAAGGTTTCTTGACTTTGCTCTTTAAATAAAATCCATACTAGCCGAGGCTGGTTTGGCTCAGCGGTAGAGCATCGGTCTGCGGACTGAAAGGTCCCGGGTTCGATTCCGGTCAAGGGCATGTACCTTGGTTGCGGGCACATCCCCGGAAGGGGGTGTGCAAGAGGCGGCTGGTCGATGTTTCTCTCTCATCGACGTTTCTAGCTCTCTATCTCTCTCCCTTCCACTCTGTAAAAATTCAATAAAATATATTTAAAAAAAAAAATAAATAAATAAATAAATAAAATCCATACTAAAAGTATCTTTAAAAAACAAATCACATTCTGCCTGAGTTTAGAAACCAGAAATTAATTATCTTAGGAGCAGGACCTTTACGTCATTCCCCTATTAGCAATACTATTACATGAATTGTGCTGTGTCTTTGGTAATTTTGTGACAAAGGTATCATGGCTTGTTTTGGAAAAACAAATCCAATTACAAGTCTGGTTATGGAATACTTCCTGTAAAATTTCCAGTCAATGAGAAAAACCAACATCACACGAACTAAAAAGATTTAATCTCTCAGAAGACCTCCATTTTCTTAAATTTAAAACTAACTACTTATTTAATTTTTCTTTCTCATCTACCACTGCAGTGAGCCCTACTGAAGAGTCTAATATTCTCCCTGAACTTCCTAAGGCTGGCTCCACATCTTTCTGGTTCTCTTTCTGAAAATAATAAGACTAGGAAAAATTATGGGATAAACTAGTTTCTAACTAATCTGAACCCATAAGCACAAAACTGACAGAAGACAGGACATGTGATTGGAAACAAACGCTAGCTGGCTTCTGGACGGCTGCAGAGCATTGGGGCTAAGTCTTAGCTCTGAACCTCCTCTCGGTTCAGTTCCTGGCTCCGGGATTCACGGGCTGTGTGTCCTTAGACAAGATGCTAACCTCTCTACGCCCGACTCCTCCTCTGTAACACGGCAGTGCTAGTAGCTACTACCTCATAGGATGACTGTGTGGCTTAAACGAATTAGCACACTTAGAGCACTTGAAATGGTAAGCAGTCAATCATTATCAGCATTCTTACTCTGGAAAAGAACACATTCCTACATTGTCCCCCAAAAAAAGGTACCTTCCCCCAACCCCCTCAAAGGAAAAGAAACCATTTTTTTCACAGAAACGAGTGGAAAGGCAAATCTCTGGAACCTCCACAGAAGATGTGGCAGCTGCTCCTGACCTGAGCTGCTTCCCCAAACACGTCAAATCAAGACACCCGACTGACTGAAAATATAGGTAGCATTTTAATGGTTTTTAAGTGTATGTATATATATATATATATATATTTTTTTTATTTCAGAGAGGGAGATGGAGAGATAGCAGCATCAATATTGAGAGGGAATCCGTTGATCGGCTGCCTCCTGCCCGCCCCCTACTGGGGACCAAGCCCGCAACCCAGGCATGTGCCCTTGATCGGAATCGAACCCGGGACCCTCCGGGCCGCAGGCCGATGCTCTATCCACTGAGCGAACCGATCAGGGCTATAGGTGGTATTTTTACAAGAGTAGTCAACACAGCATTTTCGCTTTCGTTAAACCTTCACCATATCCATAGACGAGGAAGGTCGAGGCCCAAAGACTCTTCACCTCCTTGCCCAAGGTCACTCGGGGGGTTCTGGGGGCCAAGGGAACCCGCTCTCCCTTCCCTGCAAACTCCGGGGGGAGGGGGGTGGAAGCAGGGCCATGAGGGCCCGGCGTTTTGGCGGGCTGGGTCCTGACCCTCGACCGCCGCCTCGCCTCACCTCCTTGGGGTCTCCGGACCCGGTCAGCATCCTGCGCTCGTCCTCCAGCCCCATGTCCGGCTGCGGTTCTGGATTGAACAAGAGCGACAACAGCAGCGCCTACTCCACTTCACAATCCAGAAGGACTCGCAAGGGTCACTCGCCGGATATCCGGCGGCCTGGCCGGAAGTGCGGCAGACTCCTCGCAGCCCCGAACACACGCTCAGATTGGCACGTACCAACCGTCCGCAGGCAGGGCTCAGGGGGAGCCGGTCTTCCCACCTGAGAAGGATTCACTAAAAAATGTCTCTTTCGTCCAGCCAGACCCACATAGGTTGACGTAGATGTTTATCTGAAATATCACCTTCCCAGAAACGTTGTAAGTATGAAGATCTGCTCGCCGCTCCTGTAAGCGCCGTTCTCCGTCTCACCCACATTTGCGGATGAACCCGTCCTAACTGCTGACCTTTTCAAGATGGCGGCCGGCGGCGGCCGCCCCCGGGCTCGCGCACCTCCCCAAGATGGCGGCGCCCGAGGCCTGGCGCGCCCGGAGTTGCTGGTTCTGTGAGGTAGCGGCGGCAACGACCATGGAGGCCACGTCCCGGGAGGCGGCGCCAGCGAAGAGCTCGGCCTCGGGCCCCAGCGCTCCCCCCGCCCTGTTCGAGCTGTGCGGGCGGGCGGTGAGCGCCCATATGGGGGTTCTGGAGAGCGGGGTGTGGGGTAAGTCGCGGGGTGAGGGGCTACCTCCGGCAGCGAGCGGGGGCGGCCCGGCGGCCGGGGGGCGCGGGGGGCGAGGCCGGGAGGCCCGGGGCAAGGCCCAGCCCGGGGCGCCGGGCGCCGGGCCGTGTGGTCGGAGCATGGATTCGGTGTCGGACTGACTGGACCGGGCGGAGGGAAGACGGGCACCGCGCCGGCAGGTGGACCCGCTCCGCGGCCTGGCCGGGGGCGCGGGGGGCGAGGCCCGGAGGCCCGGGCCGGGGCGAAGGCGGCGGGGCTCGGACCTCAGAGGCCGGACTGGCGGGCCGGTTCGCGGGCGCCGCGCTGACACTGGCGCCGGACCGGGCAGCGGAGGCTCGGATGCCGAGCCGACGGGCAGGGATGGCCCTGCCGTTTGGGGGCGGGGGCCGAGGCGGGGAGGCCCGGCCTGAGGCTAGGAGGCCCGGCCCGGGGCCACCCAGGCTGATTGACAGCGCGGAGCGTCCGCGCTCTGCCCGACACCCATGGGTGCTGCGACCCCGGAGGCCAAGCCGATGGGAGAGGGCAGCCCACGGGATGGAGGCGGGAGGAGGGCCGGGGCCGGGGGAAGAGGCCGAAGGGCCTGGGGTGCCGAGGCCTGTGTGACGGCCCGGGGCGGAGGGGGGCGAGCTGAGGTCGGGGGGCCTCCGGGCCGAGCTGATGGAGCGACGGGCGGACGGGCGGACAGGCCGGGCCGGGAGCGCCCGAGGCCGCTCGGACCGGCCGGAGGGCCGGGCAGGGCCGAGCGCGGGCAGCGGGAGGCCCGGAGGGAGCGGTCAGCAATCCCGGGAGGCCCCTTTGACGGACGGGCGGGAAGGGCCCCGGAGGCCTCGGCGGGGCCGCGGCCCGGGTGTCCCGCGCTGGGAGGGGGCGCCGCGCCGCTCGGAGGCCCCGATGCGAGTGGGAGTGGAGGGAGGAGGCCCCGGGCCTGAGGGCGGCGGCGCCCCCCGGGCCCGGCTGGGGTGGAGGCCGGCGGCCTGGGGCGCGCGGATGCGGGGCCGGGGAGGACGACGCGGACAGCCTCGCTGAGGGGCCGGAGAGCGTGGCAGGCCGCGGTGGGCCGAGTAACGGAGGGGAGGAGGCCTGCAGCCCGTGGGCACTCGGAGGCCTGGCTGAGGGGTGGGCACGCCTGGCCGCAGCCCGGCCGCTGGTGAGTAAAACTCGGGTGGGCATCGCGGGGACTGACGGCGGGAATGGAAGAGAGCAAAGCGAGGGCCCCGGGAGGACAGGCCTGCCCGCGCAGGGGACAGGAGGCCCGGGGCCTGACAGGCGGTGGCTGAGGGGTGGGGTTGAGGCCTGGGCTGAAGTTGGTGTCTATCACAGGCCAGGCCAGGCCCAGGCCTAAGGGGGAGGGGTGGGAGAGGAGGCCCTAGGCCTGGGCAGGGGGGTTCTGCAGAAGGCCTCAGGAGAGGTGGGGGTGTCTCTGCCTGGAGGAAGGCCCTGCTAAGGTCAGGATGGATGGCTTGACGGCCTGGGATGGGGCTTTGGGTTATATTCTGAGGAGGATGTGGAGAAAAGGCCCCGGAGGATGGGTCTTTTTCGGGGGGTGGGGACCCCCTAGGAATAAGCCCCCAGGCTGTGGAGAGTGGTTAAGGAGGCCCAGGGAGTGGGAAGGCCCTGGTGTGGGGGGGGGGGGGTCGGGTCCTGAAGAGGCCCGTGTCTTTATGTCCAGGGGGGAGGCCGTGGAATACCTCAGGCCTAGTGGGGGAGGGGATTGTGGAGCCTCTGTGCCAAAATCTAAGAGAAGGGTCAGGCTGGCCCACAGGAAACAGGAGGAAAGTCTCCGCGGAGTGGGCAGGGGGTGCAGGAAAGTGCTGGGGCAGGTGGAAGAGGCGGCTGGGATCCGGCTGTGTCAGCCTGGAGCTTCTAGGATACCAAAAGCCATGAGAAAAGAGGGCTCAGTGTGCAGGCCCGGTCTGAAGGCCCCGGGTTAAGAAGAGGAAGCATTAAAGGTGTAGGCTGGAGAGAAGAAGGACGAGCCTGGCTTAAGAAGAATGAAGAAGGGAAGAGAGGAGTGTGTGGATGATAGGGGCTCTGAGAGTGGATGGCTAACTGGGGAGTAGATTGGAGGAAGAGCTCCATGGCCTGCGCCAGGTAAATGGTCACACAGGGAAGCTGGATCTCCAGGCCTCTTAGAGGAGCCAAGGAAGAGGCCTGCTGAGCAGTGCTGTTTGGGAGGGAGGTCTCAGTGTGGCCTGAACAACCAGGAAAGGCTTCCCGGAGGAGGTGAACTTTTTTTACTTTGTGGAGGAAGTGAATAGAAATAGCAGAAAAGTATACAATGAGGAAACTTAAGTAAAACAGGTATATGATACCTTGAATGCCAATATATGGGTTGGATTTGAAATGCAATAGAGAACCTACATTAGTGTAATAGCATAGGGAATTAGTGCTTTTATTCAGCAAGTACTTTGAGTACCCAGTATATACAAAGAATTGTACTAGGTTCTTAAATACAAGATTCATTTATTCTACAGATAAATATAAAAAGAGATATTAAATGGAAGTTTTTAAAGATTTTCATTAGTTATGGTATACTCCCAAGTTCTTAAACTTATTCTTGGCTGGACAGAGATGCTGTTGACAGAATAAGAATAGTAATTGCCAACATTTAGTGAGCTTATTATGGCCAGCATGGCCTTAAAAAGATTACAAGCATGATCTTTAATTTTCACAACAATGTTATAAGGTAGTTATCTCTGTTTTAAAATTGAGGAAATTTAGGTTTAAAGACATTAATTTGCATGGATTCATAATTAAGCAGTACAACCAGCATTTCATCCAGTTTTGTGCAACTCTAGGGACCAAACCAATTAGCCATAATACTGTAATGCCTCTCAGATCTAGGGAAGTCAGCAAGTAAGTTTTGATTTTAAGACATTGAATTTTGAGTATAGAGCCTAACTATTTCTATTTTTCTTAGGAGAGTACTAGTTTTGGACACAGTGGGTGCCCAAAGAATGGAAGTAGCCAACCTGGAAGAATGGGAAGGGAATTCAGGAAAGGCTTAATAAAGTGCATGTGATACTTGAAAGATGAGTAGTTGTTATTCAGAAAGTGACAAGGATATTCTTGATGGGGAGAACAGTTTAAGAAAGTGAATCTCATGTACAGAGGCAGAAAGCAGGTTAACACCTTAGATAAGTGAAAAAAGTAGTTTAGTGTGGCTGAAGTTTAGTGTAGCAGACAAAGCAGGGAGCTGGAGAAGTGTGTAGGGCCCAGATTATGAAGGACTTACTTAATCACCCATATTCAACAGGACATTTAAAATATAGGATCATTCATTATGCTTGGACAGAAATAAAATGACCAGCTCCTAAATGAGCATATTAGCTTGCTTTGTGGGATTATCTCACCCTTGTAAATGTGTAGGGCCATGGAATTCTAGCTGCCAATAAGTGGCTAAAGATAAATGGACCAGAGTTTGAATTATCTTCAGGTTCGTGTCTATAGGTTCCATTTGTCAAAAGAGATATTTGCTCTTCTTTTTTCCACCCCCAATAGGATAAATAATGCTAAGAAACCTGGCAGAAAAAAGTAAATTTTGTGTTTTGGTTTGTTTTTTTTTAGCCCTCCCAGGCCCAATACTTCAAAGCATCTTACCTCTGCTCAATATATATTACTTGGAAAGGATTGAGGAAACTGCCCTCAAGAAAGGTGAGTGTCTTTCTCTCTCTTTCTCTGAATGATTGTAAGTAAGACACCATAATGTTTTTCAGGTAAATATTACACCTGATACTTATGTAAAACTTCAGGATTTTCCAAAAGTACCCTCACTTCTACTTTCTTATGTGATTCTTCAGTGCCCTGTAAAACATAAAACAAGTGTGTGATTCCTGGTATACTAATAAAAGTGAGACCACAGTCACACCACGATTAATAGTAAAACAAGACTAGGACCCAAATCTTCTTAATCTTTGTTTTTCTATTTTACCAAGTTACCTCTCAAACCCCACAATGGACACATCTGTTAAGAACTAATATTTATCTAACTCTGATGTGCCAAGTACTGTCCTAGGCACTTTCCTGAAGAAACTTATTAAATCTTTTCAACAGTTATGTGAAATAGTTATTATTAACTACATTTTACAGATAAGGAAACTAAGGTACAGAAAAATTAAGTAACTTGCCCAAGGTCACACAGCTAGAGTGTGGTTTGCTGATATTTAAACCAAGGCAGTATGTTTTTAGAGCCAGTTGCTCTTGTGAATCCAGAGGACGACAACATTAAAAGGCTGATATACTTCACTCATGGTGCCCGAGGAGCAGCCGAGTAAATGTGATATTTCTCCCTACAGGCCTCTCCACTCAGGCCATCTGGCGCCGACTATGGGATGAACTGATGAAGACAAGGCCTTCTGGTCTGGAAGTAAGTTAAGACACCAGGTAGAACTCTGGCCTGACTTTGCACAGTGAAAAGCAGGAGCAGTGCACAAACATAAGTTGTGTATGGGTAGAATGCAGCGGGGGATGGAGTGAATTTGGGAGGAGGGTTCTGATGGCTTATCACAAGATACCTTACCATTTGGCCTTTATCACTGACTTGTTCGCTCACCGTGTTTACAGGTGACTCAAAACAGAGAAAGCAGTGATAACAATGATGGCAGAACCCCAGTTCACAGAGGTCTTAACAGGCCTGGGGCAATGGTAAAACTTAAGATAAAATTTAACATGATAATCCAACTCTTTTTATTTTATTTTTATTGATTTCAGAGAGGAAGAGAGAGATAGAAACATCAATAATGAGAATCATTGATTGGCTGCCTTCTGCACACCCCCTACAGGGGATCAAGCTGCAACCCCAGGCATATACCCTTGACCAGAATGAACCTGGGACCCTTCAGTCTGCAGATTGATACTCTATCCACAGAACCAAACCAGCTAGGGCCAACTCTTCAGTTGAGTCTAAAAAATTCCAATTGGGTGACCTCAGGGTAGGAGATGGAGGGATCTGGCTTGTATGAAAAAATTAAGGCGTTTTAGTCAACAGTGTACTGAAACCACTTATATAGAGACTGTACCCTGAGCTGTGTGAACTAATGTAACTATAGACCAAAGGTCAAGGGAGAGAGTAGACCTGCCTGGCTCTGCAGTAGCCAGGCTACTCCTAAAGTATGGAGAAAGAAGTCAAAGCCACATCATGTGAGTCACACATGGAAGACTGGAGATGTTTTTCCTGAAAAAAGAGAAGACTTGGGGAACATGAACTGTTTTTAAATATTTGAATGGTTGTCTCATGAAAGAGGGATTAATTTACTTGTTCTGTGTGGAACTAAAGGAGGATAAATGTTTGCTAAACTAAATGTAGAACTTTTAAACTCTGTTTATTGGTGATGAAACATGAGAATTCCATTTGTAAGAAGCTTCCCATTTCTAAGTGTTCAGATAGATCCTAGATCACTATTTGACACAGGATATTGTAGAGGAAATTCAACATGGTAAAAGTTTGAACAAGATGAGTTTTAGGGCTCCTCTAACCCTGAGATTCTATTATTCATTGGTTCAGATATAACTCATTGGAGATCTCATTTAAGCAGAACTTTATTTTTTACTCTATAATTAGGTAACAGGACAAATTGAGTTCAATAAACATTTACAGAACTTACCACTTACCAGATTGTAGGCTAGATATTGGAAATACAGACACAATTCCTAATCTTAAGGAATTAACCAGTTTAGTGGGGAAATACATCATGTATGGTAGGATAAGTGGTGTGATAGAGAGTAGCAAGGAGACTGAGGAAAAAGAGGAAAACATCTTTTCTAGGAAAGAGTATTTGAACTGGGATTTATATGGTGAATGAGGCCAAATGACAAGGAAACCAGCTCTTATCAGGAACTGGAGGTTGCATTTCTGGGATGCACTGGGTTCAGTTATATTCAGCTCCATATCCTTCAGCCTTTTCACTTTCAGATTTGGACACAACCCCTGGAGTTCAGTGGGATGACACCAAGGCCTAACAAAATACTCAGGCACTATGTACAGGAATTAGCTCTTATTAGGAAGAGAATTGAATGTAAAAATATTAGAAAACAGTAACAGCTTCATGCAACCTTTCAGAAACATGAGGTTCACTTTGTTCCAGTGTTTCCAAAGCAGTATGGTTGACTAGCCAGTGGTGGAGATTGTGATATCTTTCTCTTGGGGAAAGCTTTTCCCCCCCAACATTAGCTTGAGCTTCCTGGAAAAAGAATGTATATTTGTTAAATTGTTTTTTTTTTGTTTCAGCTTTTCAGAAATTTAGGAAACCCCAGACTTGGTGGCCCAACAATCACCTAGACAGGGGTCCTGACTTGGAGCATATTCACTTATTCCAGAGGGTGTCTTCTTCTGCTTCCCACTTTTGCATGACAGTAACTTTCACTTCATTCATAATTCGAAAACACTTACTGAATGCCTGCTCAGTTCCAGGCACTGTGCTAGGTTCTAGCAATACAGTGGTGAGCAAGTTAGACATAGCCCCTGACTGCTTACAAAGCAATAGTATTTCTAACTGTGTAGTACTAGTGTGTAGGAAGAGATCTGTAGAGTACTATAGATATTCTGGAGACAAAGCAGTATGGAAATGAAGGATTATTCAATAAATGATTCTCTAATAATTGATTAACCATTTGGAAAAAATAGAGTCTCACTTTTCAGTACACTAAAATAATTTCTATATGGATTAAAGATTAAATTATAAAAAATAAAAACACAATACAACTAGAAAAGAATAAAGGTAAAAAAAAACAAAAAAAAATAAAAAAGAATAAAGGTTACTGGTGCTACAGAGTGCTAATTATTAAATGAGCAGGATCAAATAAGAAAACATGAACATATTTCACCATATAAAATGCCAAAACTATGAATACAATCTAAAAGATAAAAACTGGGAAAGCATGGTTGCAACAACATTTACAAATCAAAAGGATACAGAGAATAAGACAGAAGCCCCAGTGGAATAAAATGAGTAAAGATTTGGATAAGACAAAATATATAAAAATCTCCAATAAAGTGAAAAATGTTCAATCTCAATAATAAAAAAAGAGAAAGTAAAATTGTACTTCTTATATTGTAAAGTCTTGTTTTGATTTGATTTTGTTTTAAAAGGTAATTCTAGGGGTGGGTAAAACTTGCATTTTAATATGCTATTGGTGGGAGCAGAAAGTTACAACTTTCTTGGTGGGCAATCTGGTGATAATTGTCAAGAGTCTTTAAAATATTCTTTGGAAATTCTACTTATAATTTATAGTATATAAAAATTGAGATACTCATGAAAATTTATTTCCAGATGTTCATTACAGCAAAGTTTAATATAAAAAAGCTAGAAACAATTTAAATACCCAATAATGCAGGAATTATTAAACACTAGAGGTCCAGTGCATGACATTCGTCCACTGGGGGAGAGGTCCCTCAGCCCGGCCTGCACCCTCTCGCAGTCTGGGACCCCTTGGGGGATTTCCAACTGCCAGCAGTCTAAGTCAGCAGTCTTACATCCTCCAAGGAGTCCTTAGCACTGCTGCGAAAGTGGGAGGCTCCCGCCACCATTGTTGCATTCGCCAGCAGTGAGCCTGATTCAGGGCTTCTGGCTGAGCACAGTGACCACCAAGGAGCAGTTCCTGCATTGAGCGCTTGCTCCCTGGTAGTCATTGCACATCATAGTGACCAGTTGTTCCTTCGTTTGGTCAATTTGCATATTAGGGTTTTTTTTATATAGGCTAGTACATCCATATTTTCAAAATATTCATAAAGTCATTCTAAAAATATTTAAATATATGGGGTAAAAATGTTTAATGAAATGGTGCTATAATGTTAAAAACAACTTTGAAACTTCTGAATTGTCTCAGTGTTATAACAAGTATCTAAAGTTATTCACATACATATATGTACACTCCATAAAGTTGGTTTACACATGACTTTTTATTTTTATTGAATACAGAGAGGAAGAAAGAGGGAAACATCAATGATGAGAAAAAAGTCATTAGCTGCCTCCTGCATGCCCCCTACTGAGCCCCCAACCTGGGCATGTGCCCCTATGGGAAATCAAACCTCAACTTCCTGGTTCATAGGTCTATGCTCAATCACTGAGATAACCTAGCCAGGCTGCACATGATTTTTTGCTTCTTTATAATTCTACAAAAAAATATTTCTATTATCAGAAAGGCAACAGTGAACAATAGTTTAATAAACACTTGCCGGCTGAACAGTTTAGTACAAGAAAATATTTCACAATTCCTAACTTATACACACACTTCATCCGCCCCCCTCCCCTCTCAACTCTGCTTCCCCCCACCCCCAACCTGAGCTGCCAGCCCATTGTGCATAGGCCAAGGATTATGTTGGGGGCAAATATCATTTCCCCTGCTATCACTAAAATAAAAGTGTGTGTGTGTGTGTGTGTGTGTGTGTAAAATTTTTAAAATTTATTTCAAAGAGGAAGGGGGAAAGGGACAAGTAGTAACATCAATAATGAGAGGGAATCATTAATTGGCTACTGCCTGCATGTCCCCTGCTGGAGATAGAGTCCACAGTCTGGGCATGTGCCCTTGACCAGAATTGAACCTGGGACCCATCAGTCCGTAGGATGACACTCTATCCACTAAGCCAAACCAGCTAGGGCTAAAATTAAAGTATTTAAATCAGCTTTCATTGTCTGAGTTATACAGGTTCATAAAACGAATGGCGTGGACTAGATTTCTCAGGTATTTTTCAGCTTTAAAGTTTTAGCATAGATTTTAAAAAGTAGTGATGGAATAAAATGCAGTGAAAACTGCTGTCTGCTCATGCATTAATTCATGAGAATAAAAGCCACTGCAATAGTGGTCATAACTAACTTTATTACTCATTTAATCCTTACAACTCTGATGTCAGTATATTTATCTTCTTCACTTTGCAAATGATGAAACAGAGGCAGAAGGAGGTATAGTGACTTGCCTAAGGTTATTTGTGAACAGAAGACCCCAGGATTCAAGTTGAGGCAGTCTGGCTCAGGAGCAAATGCTCCTAATCACTATATCATGCTGCTCTCACATGATACAGAGAGCTTGAGGTGTTCCATTTCTGATGGAACCAGTACTCTTCATCAACCAATAAAATGTCTGAAAAATCCCAGTATATAGTTATCTAAACTACATTCCTCATGGTTGGAAACATCTTGGTTCACATCTTTGTCCATATTTTAGGCCCAGATCTACAATAACCATTTAACCTCATTTGTGAAGCTGAAGCCTTGCTAATGTTACCAATGTTTTTCAAGGATGTGTGTGTGGGCCAGTGAATGTGTAGGAAAAGTGCTAGTGTGAGGTAGGATTTAGATTCAGGAATAACCCTTTTGCTGAATAGAGACTTGGTTGCCAGGTATTTTTTTCTGTCCCCCTAACACCCCCAACTGCTACTGGTGAGAGAGGTCCTCTTGTTGCCATGCAGTTACTTCAAGCATGAAGAAGTCATTCCTAATTAATATTACAGCAGGCAGGCTTGGTGAATAGTGAGGGTAAAGGGAATGACAGTTTTGCCTCTGAAAAATAGGGGCCCAGTTCCTGCCAAGAACCTCAGATAGATTGGGGGTTACTCTGGTATGAGGGAATGCATAGAGGTCGGGTAAGTACCAATGTCTTTTAATCTCAGGAAACACTTAGCTCCCCATTACTTTTGCTTCAGGCTGAGTAAATACTCTGCTTAGCAGGCTCTGCCTCCATCAAGTCCATTTCACATTGCCCCATCTTGGCTAATTATCAGAAGTTACATTTTGTATTTTACAAAGTACTTTAATGTTCATTGCCTCATTTGATCTTCACCTGTGAAGCAGGTTTTATAGATGAAGAGTTCAGAAAGGTCCATAGTATAGTAGCAGAGCTGGCACCTGTATGAAGGTCAGCCTACTTTCAATGCACCGTGGGAGAGAATGGCAACTTAGGGAAGTCTGTCTGTGTGTCCTTTTGGGGTAGATAGCAGTGAATCCTAACCTCTGTGACCAAAATTATTAGGGGAGGTTTAAAAATAAACAGATGCACAGGCCTTACATCAGATATAACATAGAATCTTCAAGTCTGGGTACCCAGTGTATGAATTTTAGGCGGAAAAGTCCCGCCTAAATTGCACATGCAGTAAATGCTGATGTGCAATTAAGATTCAAAATCACTTGTACTTAAGTTTTATGTATCAGAATAGCCTGATGAGCCGAAACTGGTTTGGCTCAATGGATAGAGCGTCGGCTTGGGGACTGAAGGGTCCCGGGTTCGATTCCAGTCAAGGGCATGTACGTTGGTTGCGGGCATATCCCCGGTAGGGGGTGTGCAGGAGGCAGCTGATCAATGACTCTCATCAATGTTTCTAGCTCTCTATCTCTCTCCCTTCCTCTCTGTACAAAAATCAATAAAAATATATTAAAAAAAAAAAAAAAAAAGAATAGCCTGATGAAGTCATATATTCTTCAAAGCAAATAACTTTCTTTGGAGAAAACAAATTTAAGATTTGGTTCCTGCTCTCCAGGAATTTCTAATATGTCTGGGATAAGATGTGCACAGGCAGAGACTCAATACCATGAAGCCTAGGACCTGAGTATTCCCAACAAGAGAGGCAGGAGGATGGTGAAGGGGGCATACTGAGACAAACACTAACAGAGTGTGAAAGGTTAGTAGGTCCTTCCAGGAAACCTATTTGCTTTGGTAATGAAAGCATTTGGGGCAAATATAGGAAAGGACCTAGAAAGCAGATTGGGTCAGTGAGGTAATCAAGCTTGGCCAGAGCAAAGCATTCATGGAGAAAATGTATGGGAAATATACTTCTGAGGTAGGCAGAGGTTATATTGTGGAGAGCTTTTCCTGACAAGGTGAGGAACTCAAATTAACTCTGGATAGTGGGAAAAATGTCTTTGTATTTTTTTAAAAAAAATAACAGATAATGTACAAAAAAGAAAAAAAAAATAAAGCCGAATAATGTAAACAGGTATTTTACAAAGATAAGTCCAGTGGACTTGCAAGTTTTTAAACCTCCCCTAATGATTTTGGTCACAGAGGTTAGGATTCACTGCCATCTACCCCAAAAGGACAGGAGGCTATTAGTCAGGCGTGAGGTGATAAGGTTACTAAACAAATGTAGTTTTAAGAATGGAAAGTTGGGATCAGATTCTAGAAACATGGGAAAATTTATAGGATTGACTTTCACTTGTGAAGCACTTTAGCAAACTGGTCTCCGGAACCAACTTTCCTAGGCTCAAATCTTTGGGTTTTGAAAAAAAACCCACAAAAACTTACTGGGTGTTGAGAAATATCAATTTGTTGTTCCACTTATTTGTGCACTTGTTTATATGTGCCCCAAAGATGTGAGGCTTATAGTAGGAATACATGCCCCAAAGATGTGAGAATTTGTATAATTTACAGTGTTGCCTGGCACATTAGCTAGGAAACTAGTATGATGGTTCCATGGGTAGCACTCCTATCACAGCTGTCTGGCATGTTCTCTGCTTTCAGAGCGTGACGTGTTGGCGAGCCAAGTTTATGGAGGCTTTTTTTTCCCATGTTCTACGTGGAACCATTGACGTGTCTTCAGACAAGCGTCTTTGTGACCAGCGCTTCTCACCTCTTCTGCACAGCTCCCGCCATGTCCGGCAGCTCACCATCTGCAACATGCTGCAGGGTGCAACTGAGCTGGTGGCTGAGCCAAACCGCAGGGTTCTGGAGACCCTGGCCAGTTCCCTGCACACTCTCAAGTTCCGCCACCTGCTATTCTCCGATGTGGCTGCTCAGCAATCACTTCGACAGCTGTTGCATCAGCTTATTCACCATGGGGTTGTCAACCAGGTGTCACTCTACTCCTGGCCTGTGCCTGAGTCAGCCCTTTTCATCCTTATCCTCACCATGAGTGCTGGCTTCTGGCAGCCAGGCCCTGGCGGTCCTCCCTGCCGCCTCTGCGGAGAGGCCTCTCGAGGCCGGGCCCCATCCCGAGAGGAAAGCTCCCTCCTGCTGGGCTCACGCAGGCCTCGCAGGGATGCTGCTGAGCGATGCGCTGCAGCCCTGATGGCTTCCCGTCGGAAGAGTGAAGCCAAGCAGATGGCCAGAGCCCCGCCTACCACTCGGGTTACACGCAGGAGCACACAGGAGAGCCTGAGAGCAGGTGGGATAGACCGTAAGAGGGAGCTGCACCCTCCAGCTACCTCCCATGAGGGTCCTGGCACCAGGCAGCCACCCTCTGCTCCAGCCACCTCCTCGGCCTCTCCCTCTTCTTCCACATCCGCATCTAAAAGGGCTCCAGCTAGCTCAGCCCCACAGCCTAAGCCCTTAAAGCGTTTTAAGAGAGCCACGGGGAAAAAGGGTGCTCGCACTCGTCAAGGGTCTGGTGCAGAGTCTGAAGACCTGTATGACTTTGTTTTCATTGTGGCTGGTGAGAAGGAAGATGGGGAAGAGATGGAAATTGGGGAAGTGGCTTGTAGCGCTTTGGATGGGTCAGATCCCAGCTGCCTGGGGCTTCCAGCGCTGGAGGCCTCCCAACGATTCCGCAGCATTTCCACCTTGGAGCTCTTCACAGTCCCACTCTCCACAGAGGCAGCTCTGACACTGTGCCACCTGCTGAGCTCCTGGGTGTCTCTGGAAAGCCTCACACTATCCTACAATGGTGAGTGCCCTAGAGGGCCAGGGTTTGGGTCTTCTAGCAGCACATGTATGCCCAATCCTATGGAGGAGTACCTAGAGTATGTGGCAGTCTGCCTCACAGGGAGGCAGAAGGCATGTAGCATGGCAGGCTATTTGTGTCAGGGAAGAACATGAGGTCTGCGGGCATGCTTAGTTGTTGGAAGGGTTCCGAGGGGCAAAGAGAAACTGAAAAACGAGTACATTTTAGATATGGCAGGTCAAAGGCCAGCAGGAGTAGTGTATGCAAGCCTAGCCAGGACTGAAGCTGGATCCCCCTGGGCATATGAAAGCAGCTGTACAGACAAGGAAGTGTGGGACTTCTTTTTAAATCCTCACTCGATATTTTTTCAGAGTAGAGGGGGAGGAGATGGAGATAAATATTGATGTGAGATACACATCAAGCAGTTGCATCCTGCATGCAACCCAATGGGTGGTGGTGAAGGTAACCCACAAATGAGTTACATGTCCTTGACTACAAATTGAACCTGCAACCTTCCCGTGAGCAGGCGGACAGTCTAACCACTAGACACACCCGCCAGGGCAGAGGTGTGGAGCATATCAGACCAGTAACCTGTAAAGCAATTCTTTCCTACCTGGTTGTGCCCAGCTAGGCAAAGTTAATTCTGGCTAAATTTAGCAATTTGCCTAGTTTACCGAACATTGCTAGAGAAAATCATACAACTGCATATTGGTGCAACCTTAGATAAAGCCTATTTGCAACATCAGCTCCCATTCTACCACTTCCAAACCTTTACTTCCCTTCCTTCTTTTACTATTGTAGTAAGTCACTGGCTCTGTGACCTTACCTCCTACTTCACAGAAAAGATACCACCACATAAACTCCTTCAATTAGCCAGCCTACAAACTCTCCATCTTCTTGCATCCTTTCTTTCTCCACCATCCTGTCAAAAGCTAACTCTTCTGTCTGTACTCTGGACCCATACCCTCTCACCTTAGGAAAGCTTGTTTAATATTAAGAGTTTTCATATACTGCTTAGTATGTGCCAAGCATAAAGTATTCCCATTATATTAATTTAATCCTTTCAACAACCCTGTGAGGTTAAGTGACTTGCCCAGGATACCTAGGTAGTAAATTGTAGAGCCAGGGTTAAAGCCCACACAAGCTGGCTGAGTTCATGCTTTTAAACCACTAATGTTGCCTCCCTTCTCTCCACTGTCCCTCCCCCACCATTTAAATATTCAGTTCGGTATTTACCAAAATCTACCACCACCATTTCTCTCCCATATTAACTAGACCTATTTTCTCTTGCCCTTCACAACCTTAAGAGTTACCTGTTTCCTCTCAGCCCACTCGTCTTGCTTACATACCCACTATGCATCAAAGATCTGTCAGCAAGATCTTCCTTGTTGCTAAGTTCAATATTTAAGTTCTTGGCAGCAGTTGCCATTAAGCAGTCTTCCTCATGAAATACTCATTCCCTCTTCCTCAAAACCCTTTTTCCTTCTATCTCTGGATATTATGTCTTTCCTAATGGTCAGAGCTCTCCCACTTTACACAATTCCTAGACAATTCTGTCCATCCCCTTGGTTTCAAAGGCCAACTATGCTGAACACCCCTCTCCCCAGTTCTGACATTAGTTCAGACATATCCATCCAACTGATTACTAGATGTCATTTTATAAACCACAAGCTCCCCAACCTGAATGTTATCTTCTTCCCTCTCTATAATGTTCCTTCTCTTAATGGACATCACAGTTGATTCAGTTGCCAAAAAAGGAACCTGCATTATTTCTTATTCCAAATACATTTGGTTGCCAGGTCCTGTCTTTACAGTCTATTTCTCAAATCCATTTATTCCTCTCCACATCCTTAATTCAGACCAGTGTTTCTCACCTGGATTCACTTCAGCAGTTCCTGAGTCAGTACTCACCATGTAATTACGCTGAAGCCCATTTTTTTCACTTAAAACCCTTTAGTGGTTTTTTGTCACCATATGTCTTAATTTTGCTTGCAGGATCATGTTTTTACTGCTTACCTCCATCTTGGACATTTTACCCCCATCCACCAGCCACTTTTTCCGTTTAGAACCTGCCACTCTTCTTCAGGCCTTAAGTATACCAGGTTCACTGTGCCACTATCACTCTTCTCCCTCCATTTAGCCCATCTCCTTTATCGAAAATGCTTTTTTAAAAACGTTTTTTGAGAGGGAGGGAGAACCATCAATGGGCTGCCTCCTGCACGCCCCCTACTGGGGATCAAGCCCAGAACTCAGGCATGTGCCCTGATTGGAAATCAAACCAGTGACCTTTTGATTCATGGGTTGATGCTCACCCACTGAGCCATGCCAACCAGGCTCCTTAATGTATTTTAGGACTCAGCTGGAAACCTTTACTTATGTAAACTGAACTGAGTCTGAAGCATCCTTTATACTTCCACAGTACTCTACTTACCCAGTTCCCACCATGTTTTTTGTTATCAGACTATAGAGGCAGGAACAAGATGTTACTACTGTCTTAGCAACAACAAAAAAATGGTCCCAGGTTCGATTCTGGTCTAGAGCATGTACCTCAGTTGGAGGTTCCTCCGCAGTCCAGGCCCTGGTCAGGGCGTATGCAGGAGGCAACCAATCAATGTTTCCTCTCACATCGATATTTCTGTATTCTCCGTCTCTCTTTAAAAAAAAAAAAAAAAAAGGCAAAATATCAAGTGAAGATTTAAAAATAAAACCCCACCTTATTTACAGAGTTCTGGTTTAGTTGAATGAAATAAGCAGATCCCACAGAATTATTTGCTTTGTGGCATTAAACAACTTTTCTAACTTTTTGGATCCTACTCCTTTCTGTGGGATATGGCTATTTTTTGCCCCATTCCCACCCAATACATTTTTTAAAGTAGTCCCTACTGGATCACTGTCCTTGATTTTCAGAAAATGACTTGTAGAAAAACCCGAGACCTCTGCTGCTGTCTGGGTCTATCATACAGCTGGCAGCTACATGCTGCCCACCATATCCTGTCTTAGGACTCTGCCTGACTGATGCTTGAAGGCAAAACCCAGTACAGTAGACATCAGTTTGCTGGTTACCTGAGGAAAAAAAGCAAGACAGCATAGTTGAGACAAGTGATTTTAAATAATCTGATCCAAAGTTCAAGATTTTATAGTTATCAATGAATATTTGGAGTTGTCTCTGAATGCTACCCTTGCTGACACTCCCACGTGACTCTCTCTTGCCATAGGCCTGGGCTCTAACATCTTTCGCCTGCTGGACAGCCTCCGGGCCCTGTCAGGCCAGGCTGGATGCCGCCTCCGTGCCCTGCATCTCAGTGACCTGTTCTCACCACTGCCCATCCTGGAGCTGACACGTGCCATTGTGCGAGCCCTGCCCCTGCTGCGGGTCCTCTCTATTCGCGTCGACCACCCCAGCCAAAGGGACAACCCTGCTGCGCCAGGGAATGCAGGGCCCCCTAGCCACATAATTGGGGATGAAGAGATACCAGGTGAAGCACTGTGTGTGCGCGCGTCTGTCTCTACAGAAATGTGCGGGTACATTTGTGTAAGGAGGGATGAGCTCAAATTTAGCCCAGCCACCTGATTTACCTGGAATCTGTTCCCTTTATCTTGCTATTCTTAAGGGCCCAGACTACAAATCTAGTAAGGAGTGACTTACTAGATAAGCTTCCAGAAAAGGGGTCTGAACCAAGAACAATTGTTAAACTAGATTAGGTCCTCCTGCTGTATGTGTATTCCCTGAACTCCGGTATGTCTCCTGTCCCACCACTCTGCATACTTTGTTATATTGGCATGTCCAGGTAGTCTAGTCTTCTTGGACTAAAAGCTCCATAAAAATAAGGACTAAATTTCATATGTACTGCTCTATTCCCAGAACCTAAGACAGTGCCTAGCATACAGTATAGGTACTCAAGGAAAAGTATACATATGACTAAGTGAATCACTTAAAGTCAAGCAGGACCTGCTATAGGGTGAAGTAGATGGCCAGCTGAAATCTCCTTTCCTTACCACATCCAGAAAACTGCTTGGAACAGCTGGAGATGGGGTTTCCACGGGGAGCCCAGTCAGCCCCACTGCTCTGCTCTGTACTGAAGGCCTCAGGTTCTCTGCAGCAGCTGTCCCTGGATAGCACCACCTTTGCCTCTCCCCAGGATTTTGGGCTTGTGTTGCAGACACTCAAAGGTAAGACCCAGAGTGGTAAAGGAGGGCAGGCAGAACCTTGCATTATCTGTTGGAAAAGCTAATGATGCCCATGGCCTGTGCTCCCATCCAGAGTACAACCTAGCCCTGAAGAGACTGAGCTTCCATGACATGAATTTGGCTGACTGTCAGAGCGAGGTGCTCTTTTTGCTACAGAATCTGACTCTTCAAGGTAAGTTTTTCATCCAAAACCTGTGACATTCCTGAGTGCTTATTGTAGCTCTGCCACTGTCTCACTGAGTGAGCCAATTTTTATATTGGCCTTATGTCAACTATATAGAGCCTGCTTGGCCTTCTTTCTAAAAGATTGCAAGCTCAACACCTTCTATACTACACATGGAAAATTATTCTTTTAGAGTGCCTCACCCAAAAGTTTTTACCTTTCAGTGGCTGACAGAAGTGATAGTGGAGAGGGATTAATGTGCCAACAGGCTCTCCTCATAGACTTGACTCTAATCCCCAGCCCTACAAAGAGGGCAGTAAAGGGATAAGTGAAAGTGAATGGAGACTTTGCCCATGCAGAGAACCTTCCTAAGTAAATATCTAGGCTTAATCTGTGGTTTGAATCTTAATTTAGTTCTAGTCTTACTGGGGGTCTTGGACAATTCCTTTCTCTGTCTAGGCTCTATAAAATTTTCACACCCTTTGCTAAGGCCAATTGGGACAGGAGGGGCAGCAACAATCCTAATGCAGCCATCAGAATTTATTCTAATTTCTCTTGACAGAGATTACCTTCTCCTTCTGCCGTCTGTTTGAGAAGCGCCCGGCCCAATTTCTGCCTGAGATGGTTGCTGCTATGAAGGGCAACTCCACATTGAAGGGCCTCCGGCTGCCAGGGAATCGCCTGGGTGGGGGCAAGGCCCTGGGAATGGAGGGAAGAAAGGGGGGAGGAGCCAGTCTTTTGACCTAGAAACTCAGTGGAAGCATGGGGGGTTAGAATATAGTTGTGTGCTGAGACTTCAGAAGGCTGGGCTCCTCCCCAGCCAGAAACAGGCTGGGATAACCTTATTCCCTATTCTGAGTGTTTATCAACATTTCTCCGCTTCTCCCTAGGGAATGCTGGCCTGCTGGCCCTGGCAGATGTTTTCTCAGAGGATTCATCCTCCTCTCTGTGTCAGCTGGACATCAGGTATACATTGGGGGTTGGGAGGGGAGGAAACATGGGATAGAGCTGCAGGAGCAGACCAAAGATTAGTTGCTTTCTGGGTGTCTAACCCATCTCATCCCTACCAGTTCCAACTGCATCAAGCCAGATGGGCTTCTGGAGTTCGCCAAGCGGCTGGAGCGCTGGGGCCGTGGAGCCTTTGGTCACCTGCGCCTCTTCCAGAACTGGCTGGACCAGGATGCAGTCACAGCCAGAGAAGCTATCCGGCGGCTCCGGGCAACCTGCCATGTGGTCAGCGACTCGTGGGACTCATCCCAGGCTTTCGCAGATTATGTCAGCACCATGTGACGGGGCCCCGTGCCTCACAGGTCCGTGCTCAGTACCATCAGCTTGCAAGGGCTGAGGCACGGGCTGCCCAGAACTCCCAACCAATTCTGTCTTTCTCTTTCTGCCACCTTCCCCCCCTCTATTCTCCTTCTTCCCTTGCACTGAGGATCTGGAGGCCTTGGTGAGGCCCAGCAAAGGCATTCCTAGAACTGGGGTTAGAGGCTTTGGGCCTCTTACTCAGCAACCCGAGAACCCTGAGCCAGGAGGTTACAGTGGTCATCTGAGGACAGCCCCCCACCCCCTGCTCCGGGGTTCCTGCATTCCCACCTAAGCAGGTCCCCAAGCTTTAGAGAAATATAGGAGTGCCCACTTCCAGGCCTCTTCTCTGCTGGGCTCACCATGCTGCTCCCAGGCCTCAGTCCCTTTCATACCTTTATTCCTTTCTTTTTTTTAACCAAAAAAGTTTTTCTTATAAAATAAATTTTGGGCAAACATCATGCAGCCCTTCTTGATGATTTTTCTCCCAGAGAACAAAATCCAGCAGGGCCCTATGGGGCAAGAAGCCCCTCTCCCTGCCTCCTCCCGTTGAACAGCTATACCCAGACTAGTTATCAGCGGAGGCCCCGCTGCTCCTCATGAGAACGCTGGTGGAAGACGAAGGTGATGGCAGTGGAGACCGCATCCCAGGCAGCCTGGAGTACCTCATCCCTGAGCCCCCGCTTATCAGTGCTATGGTTCCACTGAGCCAGGTCTGAGGTGCAGTCAGAACCATCAGGGGGTGGCCTGACTTGGTGGTTGTTGACACAGCGGCAGCAGCGCAACCTGGGGGCAGAGGACAAAGCTGTGGTCACTGTACACCCCATCTCCAAGCTATTATATAAGGAATGTCCAGATAATGGCTACACGGGCACTCCACCCACCTATCATGTGTGTCACTGAGGCTAGCCTCATCCAGGGTAAACAGCTCCTTCAATTCGCCCAGAGAGAAGTGTCGCTCCACATCCTGCTCTTCATCCACCACACAACTACTCAGTGCCTTCTTGTGGCTCTGACGCTGAAAGATCTTCTCCTCGATGGTTCCTGCCTGGGGGAGGATTGGGGAAGACAGGGCTAAGTCATCTCCATACATAGGGAGAAGAAAAACCAGGGGATGAAACTATAGCCACCTAAGAGAAAGATCAATGAAAAGTAAGAACCCTGCAGCAATACCTCTGCTTAGCTAAGCCCATTGCCTAGCTTATCTCTTGGGAATATGACTTATACAGGTCTGCCCATATTTTCTGTACCAATGGAGGGTTTCAGGGCCTGGCTAAATTCCTTTAGGGTTAAGCTGAGGTTTGTCTGTAGCAGCTTCACCAGATTTTACCCAATAACTCATTTGGGTAGTATATGCCAGACCCTGTGCGAACACTAGGATATAAAGAATCAAATATGACCCTTATTCTTCAACTCAGACTAGTGGGACAGACATATAAGCTACTTGGTACAATAACAGATTTCTGTACAGAATACCTAGTAGCCCATAAGATGGGCAGAATGGAATAGTGTAAAGATCCTCAAGCTGAATCTTAAAAAAAAAAAAAAAAAAAGAGGCCAAAACCGGTGTGGCTCAGTGGATAGAGCGTCAGCCTGCAGACTGAAGGGTCCCAGGTTCGATTCCAGTCAAGGGCATGTACGTTGGTTGCGGGCACATCCCCAGTAGGGGGTGTGCAGGAGGCAGCTGATCAATGTCTCTCTCTCATCAATGTTTCTAACTATCCCTCTCTCTTCCTCTCTGTAAAAAAAAAAAAAAAAAATCAATAAAAATATATTTTAAAAAAAAGAGAAACTAGATCAATTAGAAGACCATTGAGAAGGGAAGGCATTCCCTGCATAGGAACAAAGGAATAAGCCTGGCCTATTGGAGGACTGATGCGTTCAGCCTATACAGATGACAGTGGAAGTATAGTAAAACCTGGGACTGAGAAAGTCAGAAGAGTCTGTATTGGAGAAGCTTGGATGCCAGGCTGAAGAGCTTGACCTTGTTCTAAAAAGCAAAAATTAGAATTTTTTGAAAGCTCATTCTGAAAGAAGTATGTAAAGAATAGGTTAGGATAAGACCAAAGGTCAAGAATTAGGAAGCTGTTTGCAATATCCAAGTAAGAGATTACTATAACTAGCATGGGATGGAGAGAAACGTTAGATTAAGGACATTTCAAGAGGCCGAAACCGGTTTGGCTCAGTGGATAGAGCATCAGCCTGTGGACTGAAAGGTCCTGGGTCCGATTCTGGTCAAGGGCATGTACCTTGGTTGCGGGCACGTCCCCAGTAGTGGGTGATCAATGATTCTCTCTCATTGATGTTTCTAACTCTCTATCTCTCTCTCTTCTTCACTGTAAAATCACTAAAAAAATAAAATAAAATAAAATAAAATAAAATAAAATAAAATAAAATAAAAAATCTCTGGCTAAGGACATTTCAAGAGTTTAAAACCAATGGTAATTGGAATCTAATTGTTAGGACACAGAACAGTCCAGTAGGATAATACCCAGATTTGGGTGGAGTGGCCAATGGAACCATTAAATGACAAAATTCAGAAGGGGAGCATGTTTCATCATGATGTACATGAAGTGCTTGTAAGATATTCAGGTGGAGCCCTAGCCCATTTGAATAGAGCATCAGCCTGAGGACCAAAGGGTCCCAGATTTGATTCTAGTCAAGGGCACGTACCTTGGTTGCAGGCTCCTCCCCAGCATAGGCCCTGGTCAGGGCTTGTGCAAGAGGCAACCAATCGATGTGTTTCTCTCACATCAGTGTTTCTCTCTTTCCCTCTCCCTAAAAAATAGAAAAATATCCTTAGCCCTGACTGGTCTGGCTCAGTGGATGAATTGTCGGCCTGTGGACTCAGGGGTCTCGGGTTTGATTCTGGTTAGGAGTGTGTGCCTTGGTTGCAGGCGCATTCCCAGTGGGGGGTGTGCAGGAGGCAGCTGGTAGATGTTTTTCTTTCATCGATATTTCTAGCTATATCCTTCTCCCTTTCTGTAAAAAGTCAATAAAATGTATTTTTTTAAAAAAGAAAAATATCCTTAGGGGAGGATTAACAAAAACAAAACAAAGAAAAAAGATATTCAGGTGAAAATGTACAGTAGGTGATGGATACATGGGGCCAGAACTCAATAAGAGATCTGGGCTAAAGATTTTGTTAGAGACTTGTCAATATAATCTATCTATATAAAAGGCTAATATGCAAAGTGTCCCTTTGGGAGTTCGATCCCTTGTTATGATGTGTGCTGACTACCAGAGGGTGGCGCGGAACAAAGGAAGGCCCTGATGGCCCTGATTGCTGGCCAGGCCTAGGGACCCTGCCCACGCACAAATTTCATGCCCCGGGCCTCTAGTGAGTATATAAAATCACAGACTAGGAAACCAGAATGGAGTTTCCAAAGAGAAAATAATTTTAGAATAGTCAACAGAGTCACATATACAAAGAAGAAAAAATCAAGAGTCTCATTTTGGTAAGTAGGAAGCCAATAATAAAGTACATTTAAAAGCGGGTTCAGTGGCATAAATGTTCTGATGAGTGAGAAAATGAGGTGAAGTTAATTTGTAGAATTTGGAAAAATGTGACAGTAAATGAATGGGAGTAACCCATGTTAGTAGCTGCAATAAACAGGGCTGAGAAATTTTGTTTCTAAGGTGAGAGCTACTTGAGTATGTTTATAGACTTTGGGGAATAAAGGAGAGATTAATCAACTAAGAAAAAAAAGGATGGGGAAGGATTCTAGAGCAGAGCTGGAATAATGAGCCTCAAGCAGCGAGAAAGGACATGATCTTCCTCTAAGATGGGAGGGAGGCCGGGACCGGTTTGGCTCAATGGATAGAGCGTCGGCTTGGGGACTGAAGGGTCCCGGGTTCGATTCCGGTCAAGGGCATGTACCTTGGTTGCGGGCATATCCCCAGTGGGGGGTGTGCAGGAGGCAGCTGATCGATGACTCTCTCATCAATGTTTCTAACTCTCTTATCTCTCTCTGTTTCTCTCTGTACAAAAATCAATAAAATATATTTTAAAATAAATAAATAAATAAATAAGATGGGAGGGAAGACCAGGTGTAAAGATTTATGGAAGAGAGCAAAAGGTAGGGGATAGAATTTGAACCTGATAGCCTCCATTTTTTTTCTGTGAAGTAGGACAAGGTTTCTGCAGATGACAGGTTTAGGAAGGAAACTTGAGGGCAGTGATGAAGGCTTGAAGTGGTTGTTGAAAGAAAATGAAATATGCCGAAACCGGTTTGGCTCAATGGATAGAGCGTCAGCCTGCGGACTGAAAGGTCCCAGGTTCAATTCCAGTCAAGGGCATGTACCTTGGTTGCAGGCACATCCCCAATAGGGGGTGTGCAAGAGGCAGCTGATCAATGATTCTCTCTCATCGATGTTTCTAACTCTCTATCCCTCTCTCTTCCTCTCTGTAAAAAAAAAAAAAAAAAAGAAAAGAAAAAAAGAAAAAAGAAAGAAGAAAATGAAATATGCCCCAGCCAAAGTGGTGAATGTGATTAGTGACAGTGCTCATCTATAAGTGCAAATTTATCTGATGTAAAAGCTGAGAACAGCTGTAATGAGCCAAGTGAAGTAGGTATTAGGGAAGGATACACAATAAGGATTAGGTCCCACAGAAAAGGAAGTAAAGCTACATTTGAGGACTGGGGCCAGGGTACTAGGGACATTAGGTTGAAGCAGATGTAGACGGTATAAGAAAGCTGGAGGACAGGAAGTGATAGCTATTATTGAAGTTTTGGGTACTATGTAAAGTTTCAGTATTGTTTAAGTTCCAGTGTAGCCTTTAGAGTAATTAAAACTGGGGGGGGGGGGGATGTCAAGGAAACATGAAGGCCAGAGTGCTTGATAACTGCATGGTCCTTGAAGTCCACCAGGATGATAGCTGGATTTGGGAAAGAAATGAAGATTGAGCCGAAGCCGGTTTGGCTCAGCGGTAGAGCGCTGGTCTGCGGACTGAAAGGTCCCAGGTTCGATTCCAGTCAAGGGCATGTACCTTGGTTGCGGGCACATCCCCGGTAGGGGGTGTGCAAGAGGCAGCTGGTCGATGTTTCTCTCTCATCGACGTTTCTAGCTCTCTATCTCTCTCCCTTCCTCTCTGTAAAAAAATCAATAAAATATATTTTTTAAAAAATGAAGATTGAGCTGGTGTCTGAAAAGTATTAACAAATTATGAAAATAGCAGGAGGTAGATGACTGTAGTAAGGAAAAGAAAAATCAAACTACACAACTTGAGCTTCAAAAGAACTATAGGATGGATGGTCTGAATGATCACTGAGAACTTGGAAATGCCAATGATTCTTTTTAATACCATGGGACATGGAGTACAAGAAGACTACAAGGCCACATCGGAGAGTAGAAATCAGGCATGAAGGAAGCAGGTCCTGTGGAAAGGATGGGGCCACAGGGGAGATTGTCAACTAGTGAATACAGGTATCCAGAGAGCATTGTGAAGAAGGGTTTGAAGGAATGGGGTGGAGAGAACCGAAGAATAAAAGGCTCCTGGCTTAGTCCATAGCTAAGATCGCTGCCAGAGTGGCACTAAAAAATAACCCAAGATGGTCCTAAAGGTCTTATTCCATGACCCACCCTTTCTCCGACCATCCTTACAGATAGCAGGCGATAGATATAGCAGGTCTTCTTTTGACCGTCACGCCAGACCCGAGCCATAGCTTGTTCATCATTAGCCGGGTTCCAGTCAGGGTCAAACATGACCAGTCGGTTAGCCCCAATGAGATTGAGGCCACAGCCCCCCGCTTTGCTGCTCAGCATGAAGACAAAGTCAGGGCTCTGGAAAGAGAGGAAGCAGAAAAGAACCTTTCACAGCCTGAACTAGAATCCTACTCAGCCCAGTTAACTGTTCTCTCTTACACATCTATATTCTTAGGCTCAGATCAACTGTGAGGATCACCAGTTTGTCTGCATACCACCCAATTTCCTAGCCCACAAAGTCGGTTCCCAGCCCAGCCATCACTAACCAGCCTAACCTGCCACACCCCCCAGAAAAAAAATCCAGGAAGACACTAGAGCGCAACCTCCTTATAGCTTCTCTATCAACCCTGACCTGATGTTACCACATTGGTGGGGGGGGGGGACAAGGGCTGTGCATTCACCGATGGGCTGTTGAAGCGCTCTACAACCTTGGCTCGTTTCTTAATGGACATGGTGCCATCCAAGCGGACATACAAATACCTAAAGGGAAATCCAAAGATCAAAACCCAAGAAAGAAGCAGTTTCCTGGAGGCCCCACACTCACAAAGGGAGGGGCAAGAGCTAGGAGCAAGGTTCTGTCCTGTGGGAACACCTTAAAGACCAGGGGCTGTTCCGCTGGGGGAGCCACTTCTTCGGCAGCCTACCTTCGGGCCCGGCAGAGCTTCTCAAAGAGGTCCAGTGTCTGGG